TGCATTTCAATATCCAGTTCCCAGCACCATTTGTTGAAGAGACCGTTGTCTCACCATAGTCATAGTCTTGGTACCATTGTCAAAATCAAATAAATGAGAGGTTTTATTTCTGGACTACCCTATTGATCTACATAGCTATCTGTTGGCTAGTACAACACAGCCTTGGAGGTAACTGAATTTGAGCTGAACCACAGTAACTGGATTAAGAAGTGCAGAGAGTTCTAGAATGCTCCAGAATGCTCTAGGGTTTTTAAGGTGCTTTCATGTACATGATCTCACTGAGAGTCAGTGCAAGCTCAGAAACCCTAGTAGAGGACCCGAGGCAGTAGCCTAGTGGCCAAAGGCCTCGCCTTGCAGGGGGACCCCGAATGGCACTGGTTGGGACCCTGCACCCATGTTAGAGACCTGGAAGAAGCTCCTTGCTCCTGGCTTTGGATCCACATGACTCTGGCTGTGGCAGTTACTTGGGGAGTGAATTATCGGATGGAAGATCTCTGTCTCTCCTCATCTCTGTATATCTGACTTTGCAATAATAGAAAAAAATAAAATAAATCTTAAAAAAAAGTAAGGAAAAGAAACCCAAGTAGTGTACTGCTAAATGTACGCAACCAAAAACTGTGGTGATCCCAGGACCAACTTGTTGATGTTTTGACTTCCAATCCAGGGCTCTCATTATCCTGTTTGATGGCATCCTGGGTGAGTCCAGAAGTTATGTAAGAGAAGGAAAAAATATAGAGGAAAGTTTGGATAAATATACTGGGGGCGTGGGGAAGTGCCGAACACTAGGTCCACACAAGAATTTGTGAAGAAGGTGTTTTAGCTGCTTTATTCTCAATTGCCAAAATGTTACAACAGCGAACGCATCCTACAGTAGGTAAATAGATCAACTGCATACACCCAGAAAATGCAATATTACTCAACACTAAAGAGAAATTGGTTCTGAAGGTATGAAAAGACACGGGGGTAATATAAATGCATATTAACAAGTGAAAGAAGCCAAAGTGAACAGGCTATATACTGTCCAACCATATGACATGCTACAAAGGCAAAAGTATGGAACCAGTAAAATGATTCGTGCTTCCTGGTGCTTGGTGGGGGGTGGAGAGAAGAATGAGTAGGTAGAGCATAAAGGATTTTTAAGGCCGGGAAAAATACTAAATACTACATATGATACTGCAATAATGGATATATGTCATTATATATTTGTCCAAACCCATAGAATGTATGACACCAAGAGTGAGCCGTAATGCAAACTATGGACTTGGGGTGATAACGATGTGTCCGATGTCTCAGTATAGAATCAGTAATAGTAACAGATGGACCACTCTGGTGTGGGATGTTGGTAATAGGGGCAGCTATGCATGTGTAGAGGAAGGTAGAATATGGGAAGCATGTGTGCTTTATAATCAATTTCACTGTGAACCCCAAACTGGGATCTTTTTTTAAGGTGGAGGGAGGTTATGAATGGCTGATTACAACTGAATGGCTCCCACTCAGCTTACAATCAACTTTTCCTTCTCTTGTACAGACAAGAAACAGGAGGTTCGGGTCATTCAGGGCTTTGCTGGAGTATTTCATTTTCAGAGGATGAGGAGAACTCAGTGAGATTCCCTAAGCACTAAAACCAAATGTACTGAACCCACTCTCTTGTTTTGTCGTTACCCTTTTCTAAGGCTCTTCTGAAATTTGGGGGCTGTGTTTCTGCAAGAACGGTCCATGGAAAACCCCAGTAACCAGTCCCGTCTGATAGAGGTGCTTATTTTCAAAAAAACAGTTTTCAGATTGCCAACTCTCCCTCAGTCTCCCGGAAATTAAGGGTGACTTTTAAAAAAATAAAAAATCTCTTTTTTTATTCCAAAGTCAGATATACAGAGGGAAGAGACAAAGAGGAAGAACTTCCGTCCACTGGTTCACTCCCTAAGCGGCCGCAATGACAGGAGTTGAACCAATCCAAAGCCAGGAGCCAGGAGGAGCCTCATCTGGGTCTCCTACGCGATCGCAGGGTCCTAAGGCTTTGGGCCATCCTTGACTAAAGCATCCCAAACCACAAGCAGAGAGCTGGAAGGGAAGTGGAGCAGCTGGGATACGAACCGGTGCCCTTATGGGATCCTGTTGCATGCAAGGTAAGGACTTTAGTCACTAGGTTACTGCACTAGGCCCACAGGGTGACTTTTAGGCATTGTAAGCCTTGGGAACCCTTTTTTCGGAGCAATGAAAGTCAAATTGTGAATATCAATTATCAGAGACGTGGGCATTCTGTCGAAGTCAGAGTTCTAGACAACATGTTAGATTCATGTATTCGTCTGCTTCAAATCTTTGCTCAAACATTGTCTTCCAGACGAAAACTTGTTTATACATTTGCCTGGCCCCAGATCTCAGAAATTAACCTTTACAAAGGTAGATGCTGGGATTATAGCAGCCAGGACAGTTCCTGCTATGTAGAAGGTGTTCAATCAGTATTTCTACCAAGTCAAATCCTAGTGCTTGGCCATAATGTCATCTGTCCACTGTCTTTCTAGAAAAGATTTAAGGGGGAAAATGGCAAAAAAAAAAAAATATTTTCTGAGCAAAACTGGGCGTGTGTAGTAAGAGAATGAGCTGGAATCCCCTTTCCTAATCTTCCAATTCTGGAGTCTGGGCGTGTTTCTCTAAAGATCATCTTCCTTTAATGCCACTAAGATCCTCAATTTACTATGAAATTCATGCATCCACAGTGCCCGGGTTGTGGGAGGGCTACCTGCCCAATGACTCCCTGCCCCTACCAAGAGCAAAACAGCCTTGAAGCTGCAAGGCTGTGAGGAGAAAGGGGCTTCCCTCAGCCCACTCGACATTATGGGGCCAGGAGAATAGAGACTGGCTTCTCCAGGCTTCCTGAATGAGGGCGTCAATAAACGGATCCTGTTGCAAGCAAGCTACTTTCTACACAGCCTTGGTTGGGCTATAAACAAATGTCCCTTGCCCACTTCCATTCTGCCCAGAGGCACTGGCACATAAGTCAACGCTCGTGGACACTTGGGGCATCCCACTGCCTGCACCCCTCTGCTGACCTGGTCTTATACCCGAGGAACCCAAAATCAGTTCCCTAATATGGTGCACACGTGTGTGTGCAGGGGGCAGGAGGGGGGTTGCTTCCTGCAGACCCTCCTGTGTCTCTCCCAGGACACACCTCCCGTGGCAGTCTCTGCCGAAGTGGCAAGACATGCCCTGTGGGTGATCAAGTCAGAGGAGACAAACAGGAAGAAACAAGTTCCATACTAGCGTTACACACCCGGCGAGGCAGGATCTGCCTGCTGAGGCTGCCCAGGAGGTCCCCAAGGAAACCGTTAAGATACGTCTCTCACGTTCTTATACCTGGGGTGGTTGGGGGAGGGGGCGGCGGGGAGGAGAGAGAATGTGTGCCGAGAGGAGAGGAATGGGTGCTTTCCCCAGGGGTCAAGGTTCTGCCGCCCAGCAGGTGGATGGAGAGGTGAGTGGTAGCAAAGGGCTTGTCACTAGAGGGATGTCACTGGTCTACATTGGGTGAATTGAAGGTAGGCAGGTGAGGTGAGGGAAGGGCTTAAGTGGCATTGATACAACCTCCCTCCCAACCCCAACCAGCCAACTCGTGGGTGAGGGTGGCTGTTACCTGCCTCAGCAGCCTGCTTTGATGTTTCCTGAGCTGGTTTCAGCGGAGAAAGTGCGAGGTCCTTAAACAGGGATAAAGAGAGGGAGGGACAAGGAGAGGGGCCTCCTCCCACCCCCAAGGCGGTCCAGATGGACTTTGTGAGAGCCTTCCACAGGCTAGCAGGAGGGAACTTCTAAGGTTGAGGCGAGGGAGGGAGGTGACGGCTCCCAGGATCCTTCCAGAGAGTAGATGGCCAGAGTAAGGGAGACCGAGGCAAGGAACGCCAGAGGCGGCTGGGCTGGGCGCTGAGGTCTTCCCGTTGGATACAGTGGAGCTGCACTTTGCAAAAGAAGGGGTCATTCGCAAGGGACAGCGCACAGCTGCGGCCCCGGGGATCCTAACCTGGTGGTGCAGGCTCCAAGAGGCACTGACTTCTCCCCCAGCCTCGGCGGGGAGCGTCTGGAGCGAGTTTCCCCCTATCGGACAGGAAGCAGGCTGAACACACTGACCCGAATGAGCCAGGCAGGGAAGAGGCAGCGCGACTCCCCGGGAAAAGGCTAAGGGGGTCGGCAGACCTGGATTCCAGGCTCCGGCGGAGGGGTTTTCTCAGACGATCACAGAGTCCACAGCTGAGGGGACCCGCGGGAACCCTGGGTAGAGGGTTTCTCACGCCGGCTAAGAAGGACTGAGGAGGGACTGGGACCATCGATGATGCGGGTTCTACTGGGCAGCGGCGGGAGCCCACTCCCACCCGCCACTCGGGACGCGAAAGGGGTCCACCAAATGGGATCTGACACCCTAGGAATGAGTGGGCCGATGACCTCTGGAGTGAGGGGACTTTAAATGAGGTCCGGAAGAAATTAGAGACTCCGAGGGCATCTTCTCGCTCCGACCAGGGACACAGAGGGGACTCTAGCTATTAGGAAAAGGTGGGATTTGGGGGGTCTGAGGCCACCTCCCTCCCGACCCTCCTAAATCCTGGATAGCAGGGACCCGTGAAGGAGGACGCGGGGTCCCCAGTCCGGAACCGAGCTACCTTGAAGGCACCGGCAAGCGCTTCATTCCGGGAGGGCGTTCCCGCGGCCCGGCCCCACCGCCGGGGTGGGTGGGGGGCTGCGACCGCGCCCGGGCCCCGGACCGCACCGGGATTCGGGGTCTCCCTTGCCCCCGGGAAGCCTGGAGTCTGGCGGGAGGGGGTCCCGGCGCCCCCGCCTCCGCGGGCGCCCGGGCGCGCGGGCGAGAGCGGGGCTTTATGCAAGCAGGGCGGCGGGGGGAGGAGCCGGCAGGTCGGCCCCCGGCGGGCCCTCCCCTCGGCCGTCCCCGCCCGCCCGCCCGAGCGGGGTCGGGGGAGGGGGCAGCATGGCCTGTCCGTCCGGCCCCCTTCGCCGCGCTCCTCATCTGCCCCGCGCCGAGCGCCACCGCCGCCGCCGCCGCCGCCGCTCCGCTGCCCGCGCCGCCCGCGGCTCCCGATGGAGACTGACGCGCCCCAGCCCGGCCTCGCCTCCCCGGACTCGCCGCACGACCCCTGGTACGGCCCGGCCCGGCCCGGCCCGGTCTGCCTGGCCCTCGCCTGCCCCGGCCCCGCCAACATGGCCGATCCGGGTCGGGCCGGGCCTCCCCGGGGCCCGGGCCCGCGCCCCCTGCGCCCTGGCGCCCGGCGCTCACGCGGGCCCTTTGTGTCTCTCCTCCTCCCGCAGCAAGATGTTCATCGGGGGACTCAGTTGGCAGACTACGCAGGGTGAGCCAGCCCAGGGGCGCCCACCGGCCCGGCAGGGCCCCCCAGATCCCCTCAGCACCCCGGACCCGGACCCCCCAGCCCGGCCCTGCGCCCTGCTGACCCCTGGTGCCCTCGTGCCCTCTTTCGCGCCCCGCCCGGGGTCCCCGCGGGCGCAGGACGATCGGCAAGCGGGCACGGCCCAGCGGGTGGAGGGCAGCAGATGAGGACTTCAGGGGGCATCGAGGGGGTGGGCTGGGCCCCCGGGACCCGCCGGCGGCAGCGCCAACTCCGCTCGCACCTGCGGCTCAAACTTTTGTGAGGCGGCTCCCGGAGCGGCGGGAACCCGGCCAGAGCCGTCCCCCCTACCCTCCAGCCCAGGTCGACCCCCGGGCTCCCGGAGCCCGGGGTGGGCTCCTGGAGGCTGGGCCGGGGCCGGGATGAGGCGGGGGAGGGGGTGTGGAGCCGCGGCGGGGAGCGCGCGGGCTGCCTGGCGCGGGGGCGGCCGGGCTGCGCGGGGTCACCGGGGGCAAAGGACGCGGGAGAGGAGGGGGGAGGCCCGGGGCCCGGGCCGGTGCGAAGGCGGGGTGTGTGGTTGCAGAAGGGCTGCGCGAATACTTCGGCCAGTTCGGGGAGGTGAAGGAGTGTCTGGTGATGCGAGACCCCCTGACCAAGAGATCCAGGTGAGCCCCCTCACCCGCCGCGCCTGCTCCAGGCTCGCCCCTTCACCGCTGCCACTCGCTGCCGGGTAACCATCTGCCTCTCCCTCACCGCGCCGCGCAGGGGTTTCGGCTTCGTCACTTTCGTGGACCAGGCGGGGGTGGATAAAGTGCTGGCGCAGTCGCGGCACGAGCTCGACTCCAAAACAGTGAGTGACCCTCGGGGCTTCTGAGGGAATGGGAGGCTGGCCTGAGGAAAAAGGGTCAAGATCCCTTCTGGGGAACTCTTGGATAAGATCTCATTTAGGGGACAGAGCGAGGTGTGTGTGTATGTGTGTGTTTCTGAGCAAAAGGGCTGCCATGCTGTGAAACTTTGCCACCGGACTTAGGGGTGAAGGGGTTGTGGAGAGGAAGGGGAAAGATCCCAGACCTGTATGGGGAGATGCTCCCCCACCCACTACCCCAGAACTGGTGAGGGTAGAGCCGTCCCCCCTACACACACACACACACACACACAGTACTGTAAGTGCTAATCTTGGTGCCTCCTAAAAGAGCCTGGGGTGGGGCTGGGGCCCTTCCCTGACCCAAACTGGATGAGTCAGGGCTGCAGCGACTCCCCCTGTGCCTCCTCTGAACTCTAACTAGTATTTGGCCCTGAGACACCCTCCCCCACCACACACACACACACACTGGCCCCCTCCATCACAGACCAATGGCAATACCCTCCAGAGACCATCCTTCTTCCCTCCTCCCCTGACTTTTGGTCAATGAGATCCTTGCTTTGTGTGGAAGACACAAACCTGCCTGGCCCAGAAAGGGGGTTTCTGAGAAGGCATCCAGCTTCCCTGGCAACAGGAGCCCTAGATCACAGGAGAGGCTGCTGCTGGCTGGCCAGGCAAGCTCAGGCAACTCCTCCCCCAGGGTCTTGGACCCTGCAGGGGGCGCTGGCCAAAGCTGGCTCAGGGTGGGGGAGAGGGGAGATGGACAGTCAAGAGGAGGAATTGCTCTGGGATGTTGGGGTGTCTGCCTGCCGGGTTCGGGCGGGGTGGCCTGGACAGTGTGCTGTTCTCTGGGCACACTCCCCTGCGCTGCCCCAGCCCTGCGCCTCCCTGCTTAGGTCAGTCACTGGCTTCTGTTTACCTGCAACAATGGCTGGCTGTGCCCAAGAATTTGTTAAATTACCGCCTGTCCTGTTATCTCTGCCCAGTGGCTCCCAGCTCTCCGCTCTTGCAGTAATGAGCAAATGAGGCCAGGCCCTCAACTTTGCCGGACTCTGAAAGGCTCTTCTTGGCGCAGGCCGAGTAGCCCAGGCTGGGAGTGGAGGGACAGTGGCCTATTGTTAGTGTGTGTTTGTGTGTGTGTGTGTGTGTATGTGTGATTATCTGCCATCAGGCTGCCTGCTCTCCTACCATTCCCTGTCCTCAGAATGCACTGATGGCTTCTACCGCACTCAGGAAGCTGAGATTTAGGGGCTGAGGGGCGGAGGGGGAAGGTGGAGGAGTGAAGAAGGAGGAAGAGAGAGGATGAGGAAGGAAGGCTAGATGAGTATCCTTAGGAGACTTGGGAAGGGCAAAGGCTTTGTCTGGGCTTGGCATCTCTAGACTGGGGAAGGGGGCGGGCTGGAGGTTTACTGTGGTGAGTCTATTTTGGGTTCTGACTTTCACCTTTTATTTACTTGTTGGGTTTTATTTATGTTGCCAGCCTGTATGAGTCAGACGTGGAGGTGGGGCGTGTCAGGGACTAGATATGTGTGTGGGTCTGGGGGCATGTGGCTTAAGGATTGTCTTCCGCTCAGGGTCTGGGCAGGGAGTACTGTTTGAAAGACATGGCAGGGTGAAAACGTCCTGAGAGAGACAAAATCAGAACCTTAAAGAGGGCAAGTGGGTCGCCGTGACTCCCCCTGGAGCCCAAGGTGTTCGTTAGCCTGGCGTGGGTTTGAGGAGGTCCGTCTCCGTGGGCAGGTTCCAGTGGGAGGAGAACATGCAGGAGTCTGGCTCCTGTTTTGTGTGCCAGTCAGGCAGAGAGAAGCCGGAGCCAGTGGCTGAGAGTGAGGCTCGGTTGTGAACAGAAGGAACTTTGGGAAAAGACAGATCTTTCCTGCGATTGGCTGGTGAACTTGTGAATGATGACCACTCATGTGAGTGGCAAGAAACGGCCACGGCTCTGCCTTCCCAACTCCACGTGTGTGCATCTCCGTGTCTGGTGCCCTGTCTCCTGCTGTTTGTCAGGGACACCCAAGAGTTACCAGGTGCATCTTGCATTCTCCCTTTGGTTGTTGGCAGCCGGGGGCAAAGGTGGCTCGGCGGTAACAGCACCTTTGTTTGTGCAGTGCAGGGGCAGTTTCACAAAGGACCGCTTTCACCAGTGTTATCTCGCTTTGACTCCCCGCAACTACCCCTGGGAAAAGTGGGTGTGATCGTCCCCACTTTGCAGATGAGCGGACTGAGGCTTGAGAGGCCGTAGCGGGTTACCTAGATCACAGGCCTAGCAAGAGACCCAACGGCCCCAGTCCTTTGGCCTTTCATGTCACCAAAACCCAAATGAACTCTGCCTCACCCTGAGCCTGGCTGCACTGCTGGGAGCTGTTGGCATTGCAGGCCCAGGGAAAGGCTGTTGTTGAGTGTTAAGAGTTCAAGGCGTCTTCGAAAAGTTTGTGGAAAACGCATAGAATGCTTCTAAAATTATTTGTGCCCAAAGAGCTTTTGAATTGCATTTCCCATGAACTTTTTTAAGTCTCCTCATATCGAGGAGATTTAGAACTGAGTTTGTTTACTCAGGGTGGGCTTTGTGAGCTCTCATGGTAACCCTTTCCTTCCAGACCAGAGGTATTTCTGTATGTAGGGGTGGCCCTAGCTTGAAGAGCATGTGATAGCTGGACATGTCTCCTGTACAGTCAGTGAGGAAAGTCCTCTATTTGCCTGATGCTTAAAGGAGTAAAACCGGCTCACTATTTTGTTGTTGTTGTTTTGTGCTTGCTAGGAGCTAGATGTACTATGCCAGGTACTTTGGATGTCTGATCTTAAAGAATTTACACATGACCCAAGGAGATGGGCATTAGTATCTGCCCTCTCTGCAGGCGAGCTTGACCCTAAGGCTCAGAGAGGTTAAATAACTTGTGCAAGGTCCCACAGCTCGGTGGGTGTGGGAGGGGGCAGTGGTGGGAGAGCAGTAGAGGTGTGGTTGGAACCCAGAAGCTTGAGTTCAGGACCTAAAGATTTTAACACAGTGCCTGGCTGCTTGGGATCCAGTCTGGATTTTGGCACTATCATGTGTCAGGGCTGAGGACTGGATGGTCCCCCATGAGAAGTGTGACCATCAAGACCCCTTGCCCCTCTCCCTTGTTTTTCAGATTGACCCCAAGGTGGCCTTTCCCCGAAGAGCCCAGCCCAAGGTAGGTGTGTCTGTGTCTGGGGCTATTGGGGGGATGCCTCTATCATCTCTGGCAACTCCAGGCAGTGATTTTCCCTGCATTCCCTCACAGGGCAGAGGTTGTTTCTGGAATGTCTGAGGTGTTTCAGGAATGGGTTGGGGCAGGAAGAAGGTATTCTCTGTGCCCTGGCTCTCTGGAACGAAGGCATGCACACATCTTCTCCACCTGATTTCTGGGGTGCACTGGAAAGGGAGGGAGGGGAACTGCTCCAGGGCAGGGGACACTTGGTCCTAGAAGACCCTGTCCTTGGCCCCCTGGGTGTCCTCCTGACCTCTTAGATCCCAGTCCAGGGCCTCTGGGGGTCAAACACAGGGCAGGCTTACCCCCTGAGGCTGACCCAGATCCTGGGCCCAGGAGCTCCTTCTGGCTCCCCAACCCTCCTCCTCCTCCTCCCTCTGCGGTGTGAGATGAGTTGGGTTTGCAAAGGGGGAGGGGACAATGAGGTCTGTCATCTGTTGTCCTTCAACTTAGGCCTGTAACTTCTCCCCCAAAGCACATTCTTTAGCTTGAGCAGGTTCTTCTGGGGACAGGGAGAGGGGGTTTAGGAAGCTGAATGTTGAGCCATTGAATAATACAGTACTCAACGTGTGTCACAGGGCACAGACCTAAAATTCCATGCCAGGCCTCCAGGGTACCTGCCCAGATCTTCATTTCTAAGCGATGGGATTTAGGGGACATGAGAAAAGGCTGACCACAATACAGGCTGACTGATCACATGGTCTAAAACTGGGTCCTTCCCAGTGAATTGCAGGTGTCGTCTTTGCAAAGGTGCTGGTAGGAGCTGGAGGGTGGGGGTGAGGCGTCAGATTCTGGGTCCCCCAGCTCCTGCAAGGGTGAAAGGAGAGGGATGGTTTCAGGAGACAGGAAAGGGGGCATCTCTGGCAGGGACCCAGGCCAGGGCCTGAAAGGAATTACGGAGCAGGTATTGGGAGGAAGCCACACCAGGGAGCACATGGTCGGAATTGGGTTAATTCCATTAAGCAGTTTGGTGACAGAAGGTGCTTTAGTGTTAGGATGGGGCTGGGAATTGCCGCGGATTAGCCATGCGCTCCTGGGGTAATTAGGACCATGTGTTCTTCCTAAAACAGGGCTGGGGCCACTGGGCTGCCAGAGGTTGGGCTGGGAGGAGGTTGATGAGGAAAATGTCGGCCCGGCATGGAGTTCGGGGAGACCCTGTGATGGCCCTGAGGTCCCCCGGGAGAGCCAACAGGGCCTGTAAGTTAGGCTGCAGGGTCTGGGTGGACTCACCTGCCGCCTCCCCCACCCTACCCCACCCCGTGTTGCGAGTCCTTGGGGAAGACATTTTCCAGGTGCACACCCCAGTGCCTGGAGACAGCAGGAGCGTGTGCAGGAGCCATCCAGAATGCAGGGTGCACAGCTGCCCAAGACAGACCTAGAGGCAGGGATCCAAGAAGGAGCTGGGAATGGGGGGATGCTTCAGAGAGGCTGGGGCCACAGAGAGCTTGTCAGCTGGCATCCTGGCAGGGGGGCTTGAGCCCCTGCTGGTGACCACAGGCCACAGCACTCAGATGCCCACTTTCTCATTCCCTCCCTGGAACAGATGGTGACTCGAACCAAGAAGATCTTTGTAGGGGGTCTCTCGGTCAACACCACGGTGGAGGACGTGAAGCAGTATTTTGAACAGTTCGGGAAGGTGGGTCCTAACCCAGAGTGTGCGTGTTGGGGGCAGGAATGGGGGGGAGGAGTTTGCTAGAGCAGCAAGGCCGCTGGAGGGGGCGTCAGAAGCAAGCAGGGGACCTGCCAGGTCATCCCGGGTTCTGCCGAGCTGGGCTGTGTCCTCCTGCGGGTGAGGCCAGGTCTCAGGCCCATCTCTGGGCCTCAGGCCCCTGGTGTCCCCAGGGAAGGTAAGCAGCACAGTAGCGCCCCTGTTGTTGCCTGTCCTTTGTATTTTTCTCTCCTACTTATCTTCATTCTCCCAAGGGAGACTGTGCTCCCTCCTGGAGCCAGTTCAATTCAGTCACTCCTCCTCAGCCTCCTGGGAGTTTGCACCTGTCCAGGCCACGGGGTTGTTGTACCTCACCCACCAACCACCACTCCTTCCTGGTGAGGATGATAAGGCAGTAATAAATACACCTCCAGGTTGCACTCTGCAGCCTGCCTGCATGGGCCAGAAAGCTTGGAGTAGGAACTGGGGGGCTGCTGATTCCCTGCATAGGTAATGGGGAACAGAAGGGATCACCTCGAATCCCCAATCTGGCCCAGAGGACTGACTGTCAGCCCTGAGATGCACAGAGCTTAAAATTCTGGGCCTACATAGGAAGAGATAGGCTATGGAAATGTAGGTGTGGTGATGATGTCAGACAATAGGATGTCCCCAGAAAAGTGAGCACCCCATAACGAAGTTGGCCAAGAGGAGCCCTAGGTGTGAAGTTTATGGGCAGGAGGGCTGCCCTGCTGTTAGGGGTTGGCAGCCCTGGTCTCTCGGGTGACCCAGGTAGGAGGCTCTATTTTTCCCCATCAAGACCCGGTGGAGTTCCCGGGATTGCCAGAGGTGGCTGGGGAAATGCGCCGAGCCACTGGGGCGCTAGCTGGCGGACCGGCTGGGGTGGGCGGAGGGTGCCCTGGGCGGCAGCGGATGCCGAGGTGTGAGAGCCAGAGGCCGGGGCGCAGGCGCGTCGGTGGGGACCTGGGTCGGGCGGCCCTGGGCCCCCGGAGGGAAGGGTGCTCCTGGGAAGCAGCAGGCCGGGCTCGGCTCCGGCGGGGTGTCTTTTGTGTCTGAGCGCCGAGCATTAGAGCTCGCACTAATCTGATCCAGCAGCTGTGATTGGAGGCCGCCTGCCCCCGGGGCCGGCGTTGCCATGGCGACCGGGCCCCAGGAGAAGCCGTCAGCGGCCGTGTCTTTTGTTCGGGCCTAAATCGGCGGTTGGCATGTGAAACCGGCCCGGGGAGGCCAGGGGGAGCCGCAGAATAGGCTGCCAGGGAGCGCGGGGGACAGCCGGGAATGCCAAGGGCCCTGCGGCGGGGGGCCCCCCGCCCGGATCGAGGGGCCGCCGCCGAGGGGGAAACAATGGTCAGCCGCCATGGCTGCCACTCAGGCTTAGCGGCCGCCGAACTTGGCGGCTCCCACTGGTCAGCAGGCCCCGGTCGTCTCCCCCTCCCCCGCTCCCACCGCGCGAGCCCCCCTGCCTCTGGGTTCCCATGGCGACCAAAGCCTATTAAGGACACTGGGCTCCCTCCCCTCAGCTGGCCCCAGGAGGGGACTCCGATGGAGGGTACCCTGGACAGCCCCCCTTTTCCCTTGGACCCACTCTCCTTCTGGCCCTGACTTCCACCCTGCTGTCCCTGGAAGGGAGGTCTCTGTCCAGGCCAGGAGCCCAGGTGAAAAAAGTGTGAAGAGGACCACAGGGATGTTGGGCTTGGGAACAGGCTGGTAGGACCTTGGCGTTGGCCTGAATCTGTGGGTCAGGCAAGAAGTCAGAGCTTCCGGATTAGGGAGGGAAAAGGGTGTGGTTCCCCGCAGTCACTCAGTCCATGCCAACCTTGATTGAGTCAAGGTGCTGGGTGGGTAGGCTGCTGGTGGCTTCCTCCTGGCAGCTCAAGCCGGTGCTGTGGGCTGCTCCCGCCCTAGCTTTGCACACTCCCTAAGGGGACCATGCACCCTTGTTTATTAAGCACTTACTACATCCCAGGTGCTACCTGTTCAGTGTTTGGCGCCAGATCTCATTTAACTGTTCTCCCCTGAGGTTAAGCGCTGTATGACCATTTTATTGATGTAGAATCCACATCACAGAGACATGGAGCCCTTGGCACAGGCCCACCCAACCAGCCACTGCAGGACAGACTGTGCCTTATCATGCATGGTTTTGTCTGGGTTTCCTTTGACCATCAGTTAAGCCTGGAGTGTGGGAGCTCGGGGAAGAGGGGTAGGCACATGTCTGGCACTTGAAGTGTGGGCAGTCTAGCTGATTTGAAGTTGGGATGTCAAATGGGTCTCTAAGATTGCCAGGGAGTGAGGAACACCAGGCAGGAAGGGCAGTCTCATTCTCTTCTGGCGCCTACTGCCCCCTGACACTGTGGGGTCTGGGATCTGCTAGGAGAAGGCAGGTCCCCCCCAACGCCTCCCACCCCACCATGTAGCTTGATGCCTAAGGAGAGCTGCAGGACCACTTCTAGTTCAAGGTGTGCCCTGTCTGCTTGCCTGACACAAGGGAGGCCCCTTAGAAGTCACGTAGCAGACCTGGACCTAGAAGAGGGAGAGGGGTCGGGGAGAACCCCAGAACCTGAGAAGTTTTCCTTTCTCCTTTGGCTGTCTGACCACGATAGGGGTGGAGTGGGGGCTGACCTAAGATGGAGAGGAGCCCTTGGAAGCAGCCCGAAGGTGAGCCAGGCGTGAGTTCAGAGAGCAAGAAAGAGGCACAGGCAAGACTCAGGCAAGGAGAAGGAGGTGGGACGTGGGCAGAGAGGCCGAGGTTTGGGGCCCATCCAGCTCCCTACGGGGATGTGTTGAGGGAACAACAAGAAGAGGGAGGGTCCCTGAAGCTGGTGCAGAGGTCAGCCCTCCTCAGCCCTAAGTCCCTTTCCCCTCCCCCAGTTGGTGGGAGGCAGGCAGCACAGGCACTGAACTCCACTTGGTTTAATTACAGCCTCTAGCAAAAGGAAACCTCAATTAGAGGAACAGATCTGTACCAGAAGAGGGGAGTTGAGTCTAGCTGCTGTCCTCCTGGCCTTTTGCATAAAGGGAAGAAGCTTTTGCTTCCCTGTTTCATATTTCTGTCTCTCTAGCACCCTCCCTCCCCCACTGCTCTCTGCTGCTTCCTCCTCCCCAGCTTGGTCTGGAACTTGCTGTGTGACTTTGAGCAGGCGGCTTCACCTCTCTGAGCCTATTCCCTTAGCTATAGAGTGGGACTCTAACCCTGCAGGGGAAGGGAAGTAGGGCCTAGTGCCAAGCATACATTTGGACCTTAACACATGCAGGCTAAGCCCAGCTGAGGATCTGCTGGTTTCTGTGGCAGATCAAAGCCCAGAGTGGGCCAGAGGGGGGAGGGCAGCGGGTTGGGAGAACCCCTGATCACGGGCTGTGGTGGGTCTTTCACCCACCCCACTCCACCCGCTCTCCTCACCCACTGTGTCCACGGGTTCTCATGGCAGGCTCTGTTTCAGGTGGACGACGCCATGCTGATGTTTGACAAAACCACCAACCGGCACCGAGGTGAGGGTTCCCCCTACCTCCTTCCCAGGCTGGCCCCGGGGGTGGGTAGGGGGGTCTGTGGTCAGCCAGGGGGCCGCAGGTCACAGCTACCCTTTCATCTTGCCTCCTGACATCCTATCCCCGAGGATCTGCATCCTCTCTCCAGCCTGGCCTTACAGAAGCCTTTTGTCCGGCCGTTTCCTGTGCGAGAAACTTGCCCGACTGCAGACACCCGAGAGGGGCAGAGGAGCAGCCCTGCCGCCCCTCCCTCACTGGGGTCTGCTTCTGCCCGGGGCTCACCTTGTCCCTGGTAACCAGACCCTGGACCAGGCAGCCCCAGGGTCAGGCCAGCCCTTCAGCCTCAGCCGCCCAGCCCCCTGTCCCCACGTGGTGGTGGGGCATCTGGGCCACACCGTGGCTCTGCCTGCATGGCTTTCTCCCAAGGGCCCTGCCTTCTGATCCCAGCCCAGCCCCTGCGCAGCACACCCAGGAGGGAGGCAGGGCTGTTTCAGGGCTCAGGGGAGCTTCTTGGGCCCTCTGGAAGTGAGGGTGTGATTTGTGTTTGTGTCCATGTGCGTGACTGTGACCAGATCCAAAAGCAAGGGTTACTTTAAAAGATTCATAAGAAATGAGAGTGAAAAAAAGGATTGTATTTTTGTGCTCCCCCACCAAAAAAAAATTTTGTTTAAATCCCTGCATCATTTTTTTCTCCGTGTACTTTTTGAAGGTGCCTGATATTTGTGTGTGTGTGTGTGTGTGTGTGTGTGTGTGGCGTGTCAAGATCAGGATGCATGTGTAGAGCACCAGTCGTGTCTGTGTGACATAGGAGTGTGTGTGTGTCCCTGCGGGTGCACCTGCGTGTGTCTCTGGAGAGATGTTTGTTTGGGTCTCCCTCTGTGTAGGTTTGACTGAACGTTCCTGGGGATCTTTCTGTCCTATTTGGAAAGAACCAGACAGAGAGAAAAAAGGCCCAAGGAAGGCACTGTCCCCTCTGACTGTAGGCTGCACATACACGACTCAACCCGCCTTGGCTGGAAAAGACTCACTCATCAGTGACGCCTGTGCTGGATAGACAGCCTTCTTCCTTGTCATGGCTCCTTACACAACCCCCTCTAACAGCGGCTCACGGAGCATTTATGCTGTATTAAGTACAATAAGCCATCTAGAGGTGATTTCACTTATGGAAGTTGTGCGTAGGTTCTGTGCTGGAATTATGACATTTTATTTTTTTATGAAAGATTTGTTTAGTTATTTGAAAGGCAGAGCAACAGAGAGGGAAGGAGAAACAAGAAGAAAGAGATCTTCCATCCACTGGTTCGTTTCCAAAATGGCTGTAACTGCTGGGAGTAGACGAGGCTAGAGGCAGGAGCCGGGAGCTGCATCATGTTTTCCTCCATGGGTGGCAGGTGTTCAAGTACCTGGGCCATCTTTTTGCTGCCTCCCAAGAACATAAGCAAGGGAGCTAAAGTAGAAGCACAGCCAGGACCGGAACTGGCAGTCTGACATAGGATGCCATCATCTCATGTGGCGACTTAACCCTCCATGCCACAACACAGGCCTCTGCCAAGCCACTTTGTATCAGAGACTTGAACATGCCCAGGTATAGGGCTTCCTGGAACCAGTCCTCTAGGACACCAAGAAACCACTGTGTCTTCGCTGCTACTCATCACCTTCTGACTTGCTGTGTGACCTTGTGCAGGTTCCCTCACTTCCCTGGGCCCTGGCTTTCTCATCCTGTGTGTAATTTAGAACTTGAAACCCTGTCTCAGCAGGTGGTTGAGACACTCCTGGCTGTGGGCAGAGCCTTTCATTAACTCTCAGACACTCACCCGCAAGAGAGAGGAGCTGCGGTATTTGGTATTCCTGTGACCCCGGAGCTGGAGTTTAACCCTGAGCCCGGCTTCTGACCCCGCCTTTGCACTTTGTCCAACCTCTAGGGTTCGGGTTTGTCACGTTCGAGAGCGAGGACATCGTGGAGAAAGTGTGTGAAATCCACTTCCATGAAATTAACAACAAAATGGTGAGCCGGGGGTAGAAGCAGAGAGACAGAGAAAATGGGCTTCTGTGAAGTTCTGGGGTTCCGGAGGCAGGAAGGGCCTCCTGGGGAGTGGGACACCCCCTGAGAATCCTCAGGCCAATGACTTCCCATCTCTGGGCCTCAGTTTCTTTATCTGTTACCCAGGAGAAGCACCAGCACCCCATCACAGGGTGTATGTAAGCAGCCCATGAACCGCTGCTTGCAAAGCTGTGTCCACCGTGCTGGGCCCCTAGTGAATGCCCCCTTAAGTGCTACAAGTAGAAGACCTGTTGGGGTCCAGGAGGGACGTTGACCCGAGGTCTGGAAGGAGGACTGACCACCAGGTCTCGTTGCAGGTGGAATGTAAGAAAGCTCAGCCAAAGGAGGTGATGTCGCCCACTGGCTCAGCCCGGGGAAGGTCTCGAGTCATGCCCTATGGAATGGACGCTTTCATGCTGGGCATCGGCATGCTGGGTATGTCCCGGGCCTGCACCCGGGGCTCCTCCCTGCCTGGAACTGCTTGTCGGCGCTACCAGGAGCTGCGTGGGTGTTTCACCTCATCAGTGGTCTGCCCTTGGCTCTGAGTCACTGGGCAGCAGCCCCTGACCAGGGATCTCAAGTTTGACCGTCCTACCCCACGTTGGGGTGGCTAGGTTGTGGGGTGCTGCCCTCTGGTGGTAGTCATGAGAATGGTCCATCTACCCTGTATTCATCAGTTCTCTGTCCATCTCTCCATCTGGTCAATAGCTATTAAGCACCTGTGTATACCAGGGCACTATTCCAGGCATTGTAACAATGACTTCCCTGAGCTTTATGGTGTGGAAAGATCATTAGGAAAACAGATTTACGATGGAGTATAGGTTGCCAAGGGAGTGTGGCCATAGGAAACTTGACCTAGACTTGGAGAGGCCAGATGATAAGTAACATTTTTTTAAGATTTATTTATTTTTATTGGAAAGTCATATTTACAGAGAGAAGGAAAGACAGAGAGAAAGATGTTCTACCTGCTGGTTCACTCTCCAAGAACTGAGCCAATCCGAAGCCTAGAGCCAGGAGCTTCCTCTGGGTCTTCCATGTGGGTGCAGGGCCCCAAGACTCTAGGCCATCCTCTACTGGTTTCCCAGGCCACAAGCAGGGAGCTAGAAGGGAAGTGGAGCAGCCAGGATGTGAACCGGCGCCCATATGGGATCCGGCACATGCAAGGCAAGACTTCAGCCACTTGGGCTTTCATGCCGAGCCTAATAAGTAACATTTAAGCTGATTCAGCAGCTTGAGTATGAGCCAGCTATGGGAGAGTGGGGGAACAGGGAAAGTGTTCTAGGGAGGGGAACTGACAGGTTCAAAGGACCATTGGAAAAGCAAAAAAAAAAAGAGGGCTGCCTCTTCTTATCATTCAGTTAACAGTACCTGAGAGGCAAGACACGCCCTCATGGGGCTGCCCTTCAAGGAATAGACCAGATTGGTGGGCACAGAGTGCAAGAGGCTGGGAAGGCGAAAACCACCACAAGCCACAGATGTTGATCTGTATCTGGGACCCAGGAGGGAGAGTGGAGACATCTGTACTTGGCCCAGGCAGCTTAGCCCTCCCTGGAAGGAACAAGTGTAGGGTGGGTCTTCCTGCTGGACACAGGAGCAGGGGCTCATGGACAGGCCCTCTGGGACTTCCCAGAGCAGCAGGGCAGGGGGTGAGCTGGAGGATCAGGCCAGGAAGAGGTCGGGGAGGTGGGCATTTGTAGGCGGGGCACAGGCTTCCCTTGAAGACTGGTTGTGTAGGGTTTTTCTTTTTTCCAGATTTCTTTTGTTTGAGTTACAGAGAGTAAGAGGGAGAGACAGAGAGCTCTTTCATCTGCTAGTTCACTCCCCGAAGGTCTGCAGTGGCTGCTGCTAGGCTGGTCTTAATCCAGGAAGCTGGAGCTTCTTCCAGGTCTCCCACATGGCTGCAGAGGCCCAAGAAGTTGGGCCAGCTTTTGCTGCATTTTCAGACACATTAGCAGGGAGCTGGATCAGAAGTTGAGCAACCAGGACTTGAATCCCATATGGGAAGTTGGCACCACAGCACTGGCCCATTGTTGTTTCTTCTTAGCTCTCTCTCTCTCTCTCTCTTTTTTAAAAATTTGTTTCTTTTTATTGGAAGCATACCTTTACAGAGAAAAGGAGAGACAAAGATCTTTCATCCACTGGTTCACTCCCCAAGTAGCCACAATGGTCTGAACTGAGCCAATCCAAAGCCAGGAGGCAGGAGCTTCTTTTGGGTCTCCCACATGGGTGCAGGGTCCTAAGGCTTTGGGCCATCTTCTGTTGCTTTCCCAGGCCACAAGCAGGGAGGTAGAAGGGAAATGGAACAGCCTGGACACAAACCAGCACCTGTATGGGATGCCAGCTCCACAAGGTAGAGGATTAGCCCTCTTATACCACTGCATCAACCCTGTTAACTATTTGGAAGCGATTCTAACCACCCAAAAGAGTGGCAGAAGTAGGACAGCGCAAAGAACTTAAAAAAATTTTTTTTCAACATTTATTTTTATTTGAAAGGCAAAGAAAGAAACAAAGACAAACAGAGAAAGAGCTCCCATCTTGCTAGTTCAATTTCCAAATGCCTGCAATAGCTGGGGCTGGGCCAGGCCAAAGCCAGGAGCCCAGAACTCCACCCAGGTCTCCTGTGTGAGTGGCAAGGACCTGTATCAGCACCCAGGCACCCTGGGATGGGAGGTAGGATCCCAACCTAGTAAACTACCACATCACGTGCCCAACGTCTACCCCCTTTTATCAGATTCACCTGCCGGTGCAGCTGTAGCATAGTCGACTTCTTAAAGTCATATTGATAGGTTATCATCTAATCTGTTTTTGAGTTTTTCAGGTTCATCAATTAACCTGATAATGTGTTTTTGGCATATGGTTGCTCTCCAAAGACGGAGGCTAAAACCAGGTCTAACTTGTCCTGTCTCTTTAAATCCCTTTGATAAAGAAGCTTCCTTTTTTTCCCCCACCTTTTCTTAAAGGTGATTCGTGAGCTGGCTTCACTTCCATTTCAAAGACAAAAAAAAAAGAAGGAAAAAAAGAGAATCTTGTAGTGAAATCAGTGGTCCAGGACCTGGGAGCCAGCCAGATCTGAATTTGAATCCCTTTCCGCAATCATTTCTCACTGTACAGCTGTTCCTTGGGAAGACGGAATAAAGCAGGAGCCGAGTTCAGATCATTATCCTCAGTGCAATGAAAGGGAAATTCAGGGTGACACAGCAGAGCCTGCGAGTGACAGGCAGGGGGACTCCCTGAGACCCAGGCAGTGAGAACTCGGTCGTGCAATTCATCTGGAGGAATGTTCCAGACAGGGGCACTGGCATGTGCAAAGGCTGCCAGGTAGGGGTGAGCTCAGCCAGTCCGAGGCTAGTGGCTGCAGCAGGGGGGAGGGGCATAGGAAGGATGGCTGGAGGGAGGGACAGAATGTGGGAGATGAGACCAGGAGGGCCCAGAGCACCAAGAGTTTCTGCTTATTCGCAGCCAAGGAAAAAAAAAAAAAATCACCTCTCAGCCTCGATCTTGTCTGTAAAAAATGGAATTCCTAATAATGCCTGCATGTTGGGCTTGCTTGTGCCATTTAGCAATACAATGATGTGGACAATACGATAGGCACAGAACACAGCGCCTGTGGCAAGCATTCGGAAAGAGGACTGTATGTTAAATCCCCGTCCAAGGCAGGGATGGGGGCAGGAAGCAGGTCAGCTGTGTCCCCCTCCCCATCCCACCTTCAGTGGGGTTCATGCTGTGGGTGAGGCATCTTACACTGTCTCCTCATCCCATCAGGTTACCCAGGTTTCCAGGCCACGACCTACGCCAGCCGGAGTTACACAGGCCTCGCCCCTGGCTACACCTACCAGTTCCCCGGTGAGTCCTTCGTGTTGGGTGTCCACCTGCTGTCCGCATGTTCTCCATTTCCCAGGGCAGTCTGACTCCTCGGGGTGGTGGGCAGGGTGGGGGTGAGGGTGCATGGCTGGGGTGTCTGCCTGCTGGAGGCTTGGAAGGAAGGGCATGTCTTAGGAAGGAGAGCCCCCCTCCCCACCCTCTCCCCACGCCTTCCCAGAAGCCAGGGGCGGTGCTCCTGCATGGCTCCCTCCTCCCCCAGGCATTCCCTCTGTCTGCATCCCACTTTCCTTCCTCTCCACCCTGCCCCGGGTTGCCACTTCCACCAAAGAGGGCGTCGGGCTTATGGTGGGTGCCTCATCCAGGGTCAGCTTTGGTCGTGTCTTCCCGGACACATCTGCCACATCCACGTTCTGTGCCAAACCCCGTCTAGGCCAGACAAGACCATCTGAAACCCCGCATGCTGAAAAGCGACCTTGAGATCATTCTCATGGCCACAAACACTCACTTACAGTCCAGTGAGGCAATCTTAGCGGATCTGAGAGCCAGGGGCAGGAGGTCCCACGAAGAGGTGTCTTTCCCACTGGTTCACTCCCCCCAAATGGCTGCAACATCCTGGGCTGGCCAGGTAAAAGCCAGGATTCAAGAGCTGCATCCGGGTCTCCCACATGCGTGGCGGGGGAACAGATGTTCAGGCCATTTGCCTGTGCTTTCCCAGCTGCAACAACAGGGAGCCAGATCAGAAGTGGAGCAGCTGGGATGTGAGCCAGTATTCTGACATGGGATGCTGGCATTGCAGGTTAACCCACTGGGCCACATTGCTGCCTTTTTCTTTTAATTGTTGTTTCTAATATTACGTATCAAGATTTTGCCGGTCCTATTTTTTTTTAAGATTTATTTTTATTATTTTTTCATTGGAAAGGCGGATATACAGAGAGGAGAGACAGAGAGGAAGATCTTCCGTCCCCAAGTGAGTGCAACAGCCGATACTATGCCGATCCGAAGCCAGGAGCCTCTTCCGGGGGTCTCCCACACGGGTGCAGGGTCCCAAAGCTTTGGGCCGTCCTCGACTGCTTTCCCGGGTCACAGGCAGGGAGCTGGAAGGGAAGCGGGGCTGCCGGGATTAGAACCGGCGCCCATATGGGATCCCGGGCGTGCAAGGCGAGGACCTTAACCACTTGCGCCACCGCGCCGGGCCCGGTCCTATTTTTTTATATATCATTTTATATATTTAGAGGGTGCCCACTGCTGTGTCCTCAAGCCCTTAAGGCCAGTCCACATGGAAGCCTTCATATTCTTTAAGTCATCCCGCTCTCCCTGGGATCCCACAGACCAGGCCTGGTTACCTCCACATCAGGCTCCCAGAGGGAAGTGAGTTGGTGAGAGGACACCCCCCACCTCAGCCCCCAGGACGTGGCAGAGATGTGGGCCCCAAACCCAGCCCGACCTGCCCCAGGGCCGTGACCTTGCATCATGCCACCTCCCCAGCTCTCATACCCCCTTCTCCCACACATGCCACAGGGAAAGAGGAGGTTTTAGGAGCTGGGTCAGAGCCATCCCAAGCCTTTTCAACAATTCCCAGGGTTGTTAGTTCAGTGTCAGTGTCACCCAGAGCCCAGGGTAGACGTGGCAACTCTGCCCATTCTCTTCTCTGCATCTCTCTCTGTCCTGTCCCCTGGCGGCTGGGGCCCATACTCTCCCCAGTCCCAGCCCCTGGTTCCTGTGCATGGCCTGTCCCCTCAGCTGATGCGTCACCCTGGGTACAGTCATCCTCCCTGGGCCGTGCCCAAGGGGCCTCCCTCCTAAGCTGTTTTCCGTTTCATTTTAGAATTCCGTGTAGAGCGGACCCCTCTCCCGAGCGCCCCAGTCCTCCCCGAGCTTACAGGTCAGTTGCTGAGGGTTTCACATACCTCACAGGCCTCCTGGGGACAGGGGACAGGGGACAGGGACATTCCTGGGGAAGCTAGCAGGCCTCCTTGCCACCCCTGTCCACCAGCTATTCAACTATGGGAACACAGGACGCTGTGCTGGGGACTGGCCAGTCTGGGTATCTCCACAGCCTGTTATGGGGGGCAGAGGGCCAGGTCTAGCAGATGGAATCAAAGTCACTCATTCATCCACTTGGCAAATATTTATCTAGCACCTTCCATGTGCCAGGCACCACGGAGACTCCAGGATCCAACAGTGAATGAGCTAGGGTCTCCACTCAGAATGGACTGAGCAGGAGGATGGGCGGGGGAGGTGTGTGTAGACCAGAATGGGCCTGCCTGCACAGGCTCCCACTGACCCCGTCTGAAGGGAGAAGGGCGCAAACTCCCACCATGCTCCTGGGTCTCATTTTTCCAGAGAAGCCAGACACTCAGCACTCGCTTCCATGTGAGTTCTTCAATCATTTTTAAATATTGGTGACAAATTCCAAATTTGTAAAACACTGCCGGGCAGGGGGGACCCCCAACCCAGCTCATGTGATGACTGAATGTTGTGACTTTTGGGCATTCAGGGTGAAGGTGCTTAGCTACTGGGGATCGAGTCTCTGACCTGGAGCTCCAAATGGGCCACCCGGCTCAGAGGTGGAGTGCGTGCAGGGCTGAGGGTGGCCAAGGGCCAGCGAGGTGGGCCTCCAGGGGTCTCTGCCCCACCCCCCCCCGCTTCTCCCCCCACCCTGGCTGTGTGTGTAGGATGTGAGAGCATGGGTGTTGATTTAGAAGAGGCCTTCCTTCCAAGTAGGGTTCAGGGTTCCCCCCAACATGGAGAGCAGGAAGACAGCCAGGGAGTGGGGCTGATGGAGGCCCCACCCTGACCTCTAGATGGGAAGGAGGCACTTAGTAGTTGGTTTGGAACTACACACATGGACTCACAGAGCTAGGCGCTGCACTCACACAATTTACAGGGCAGAGGGAGAAACAAATACTTATATAAAGTCTTTGAAAACTAGTATTAATTCTAGGTATACAAGAGACACAGAGGAAGTTAGCTTTCGGCTAGCCCCCAAGTTCCCCCAGCAGCTGGGGCTGGGACAGAGGGATCCAGGAGTTGGGAATTTGACCCCTTTTCTCCCAGAGGGACTCAAGTACTTGGGCCATCACTTGCTGCCTCCCAGGCATTTCCATGTAGGTTTTACCTGCTGGACCCAACACCTGGCCCACAAACAAATGAGCGTGGCTGGCTGGCTGGCATGGGCTCCTCCAACTTTGTGAGAATGCCTACGTGATCCAAAGCCAGACCCTCCCTTTCTCCCCACCCCCTGCTCCAGGCCCAGCCCTCTCCACCAGTGACCTGAGGGAAGCATGCCCTCCACAGAGTGGGCAGCATTCCTGAGAGTTTGCAGTCTGACCTCCTCTCATGCCCTGGGGCAGGAGGCTCTTGGGTGCTTCCCTCATGCTCCTTAGACCCCTCATTGTGCTGGCTGCTAGGTCCCTGCCTTGTGGGAGCTGGGAGGAGGGAGATGGCGGGGAAGCCATGAACAAACACTAAGATGCTTCCAGAGATTGAGAAATTCCACAGGAAAATAAAGCAGAGATTGATGAAGAGTTAGAGCTAGGGGTAAGAGGAAGGTAGCCGAGGATAGCTTTTTATTATTATTTATTTATTTCAGTGGCAGAGTTACACACACACAGAAAGAGAGAGAGAGAGAGAAATCTTCCACCTGCTGGATTACTCCCCAAATGGCCATGGCTGTGCCAGAGCCAAGCCAGGAGCCCCAAGTTTCTCCTGGGTCTCCCATATGGGTGCAGGCCCCTAAGCACCTGTGTCACCCTCCACTGCTTTCCCAGGTGCACTAGCATGGGAGCTGGATTAGAAGTGTAGCAGGAGACAGCTTTACCTGCTATGTCACATCACTGTCCCTGGCCCATTTTAAATAGCAAGTTCGAGGTGAGGTGGTTTTGGGGAGGGGAGGACAGGGGGCCCCTTCCATTCACTAGTTCATTGTCCACGTGGCTGCCTCAGCCAGGGCTGGGCCAGGCTGAAGGAACCAGGAGCTTTATTGTGGTTTCCCACTTGGGTACAAGACCCCACATATTGGGACCATTCCAGTTGCTTTCCCAGCTGGCTCAGAAGTGGCACAGCCAGGACTCAGACTGGTAGCCATTCAGGTTGCCTGGCTGTACCCCAGAGCTGGCCCTGTAGGAAAGGCTTCTAAAAGGAGGTAACAGACAAGAGAAGTAAAACCAGCCTTGAGACCATGGGACAAATTCCCACGTGTAGGAACCAGGCAAGGGGGTCTTCCGTAGGCTCCCTAGCCCCAAGGCTAGTTCCAGTTCAGAGCCAGGGTTACCCAAACAGCCCTAAGAGGGGCACTGAGAGCTGGGAGCCTGGCTTGTGTCCCAGAAGCCTTACCAAATGCTAACCCCCCAAAACCCACGCGCTCCACCCGGGTTGGAGCCAGCAGCAGGGGGCGCTCATCTTCCAGCCCCGAGAAAGCTCCAGGCTCAAGCTAGGCATATTAGCTCTGTAGACTTTTAGCTCTTTAGACTGGCTCCTCCTCCTCCTGCTGACATTTACTCAACTCCCTCCAGGTATTGAGCAGGTGAACAGCAAAGACCCTGTGTCTGAAGAGATTCCCAAAAAGAGTGGAGAGAATGGGGGTGGGGGTAGGGAGTGGAAGTTTCTGACCGAGTGCCCTGAAAAGGGGCTTGAGGAACTCAGCACACCCAGCCGGTGGAGCTGCCTGGGAAGCTGTGGTCTTCACAGATACGCGCCAGGAGGCGCTCTGGAGCCTCCACTGCTCCAGGGTGGGCTCCCCACCCGAGGCCCTATGCCAGGCCCTATGCCAGTCGTGGGTCATAACTCCCTGGATACCTGTGGGTTCCATGAGATGTTCAGGTGTGTTTGTCCCTGAGTCCAAGGGAGGAACTGAGGCAGGGCTGCTCACCAGGAAGCCATCACTCTTTCCTTTCTCCATCCATCCATCCCCAGGGCCAGGGCACACAGGGAGGCCCACACAGCTTTCTCTGTCTCCACACTTCTCCCACCCCACCAGAGTGTCCTGTAAGTGGGGGATTTCCCCCCTTACCCACACACACTCCTCATCAGTCTGTGTCTTCCCTTTCAGCCATTCCTCTCACTGCTTACGGACCCATGGCGGCGGCAGCAGCGGCAGCAGCTGTGGTCCGAGGGACAGGTAAGGATTTGTGGGGCACAAGAAGCAAGGGAAAAAGCGGGGTACGGGAACCAGAAAAGCTCAGAGGAAAGTGAAGGTTAGTACAAACATGGGTTTGCTGGACATCTGTTGTGTGCTGGGCATGAGATCAGCTCTAGTGAACCAGCCAGAAGGGAGCCCCACAAGCAGGGCCTTTGCCAGCCAGGTTTCCCAAGCTGGGGACGCCCACGTGTTAAAAAAAAAAAAAAAAAAAAAGACCTCATGGGAGCTTGCAGGAGGAAGGGCTTCCTAACTACAGACAGGAAGGCAAAGAAGAGGAAGAGTGTGGTTGGCCAAGGGAAAGGGGAAAAGCAAAGGGAGGCTATGGAGAGAAGGCCGGAGGAGCCTGGCCCTGAACAGGTGCTTGGAGCAGAACAAGGCAGGTGTCAAGGTTGAGGAAAAACCCTTGGGTGCAGGTGGAGAGGTGGGAAGAGGAGGCAGCGGAATGGTCAGACCGGAGGTGGTAGGGACCTGGGGTGGTGGAGTGGAAAGACTGGGATAGATGACTGGACAGCACCTGTTGGATTATGGCAGGTGGGATGGGTCTGAGGGGATGGCATGGGGTCAGCAGTGGGCACCCGAGCTCTCACTGTCTTCTTTCTGGGTTGCCAGGCTCTCACCCTTGGACGATGGCTCCCCCCCCAGGTTCGACACCCAGCCGCACAGGGGGCTTCCTGGGGACCACCAGCCCTGGCCCCATGGCTGAGCTCTATGGGGCAGCCAACCAGGACTCGGGGGTCAGCAGCTACATCAGTGCCGCCAGCCCTGCCCCCAGCACTGGCTTTGGCCACAGTCTTGGGGTGAGTGGACAGGCCAGCCTGGTGGTCTCCCACCTCACCCCTTCACCTGAGGAGATCCCAAAGTTGAGAGAGAGAGGAGACTTCAGTCTGTCTCCAGAGTCAAGGGGGTGGGGGAGGGAAACAAAGACAATGACGAGAAGAAAGGCATTGTAGAGGGGACCAATGCTTTCCCATAGAGGGTCCTTAGGCACTGCCCTCTGCATGCCAGGCATCCGCTGCAGTGCCATGGGGCACTCACCACTGCCCACGGTGAGGTTAAATGCCAGCTGACCAGGGGGCTGGCCACATGCACAGTCCCAGATCCCACCCCCACACCCCTCCACCACACACAGAATCTTCCAGCACATTTACAGGGTGGTGGATGAAGGTTTGGGTCTCCCATGATGTCCTGTGGGTATAATACAGGAGGAGCCCCACCCATGGTGTGCTCTGCTTTGTGTAGGAAGGTTAATTCTTTTCTTTTCAGGGCCCCTTGATTGCCACAGCCTTCACCAATGGGTACCACTGAAGCAGGGGACAGGTGGCAGGAGGTGAGAAGGGAGGGGGTGGAGAGGGAGAGGTGTGGCCCTGGGGAGGTCCTGCCCTTTGCTCCCCTGCAGGAGGCAGTTACGCCCCCAGTGGCCAGGGAACATCTTGAAAGCCACTCAGTTCACTATATTTTCCCGCATAAATTGAGCCAGCAATCAGCTGGCCGTGGATTTTCTAGAAAGGGTCACACCAGGGAAGGTGTGGGGGAAATTGCACGTGTACTGTTGGGGTTCTCAGGAGTGCATGCACCTAGATTTTTTTAAACATTCATGCCCTTTGACCCAGTGATGCCACTTCCAGACATTTATTAAAAAAGAAAGAAAGAAAGAAAGAAAGAAAGAAAGAAAGAAAGAAAGAAAGAAAGAAAGAAAGAAAGAAAAAGTAGCCGCAAGTAACTGCAGTGCCCCTCCGAAATATAATAGCAAAATAGCCCATGAGCCGGAACAGGATAACACAGTTAAAACAGGGTCCTGTGGATTCCTGGAACCAGGATGTGGGACCCTGGGACCGGTGTGAGTTTACGGCATTTTATTCATTCACTGGTTCGAATTTTTCCTGAACCTTGTTCCAGGCAAGCAGAAGCTCTTCTGTCAATAGTCCAGGTAGAAGTGAGACAATTCCACATGGGGTGTGTGTGTGTGTGTGTGTGTGTGTGTGTGTGTGTGTGTAGGGTTCAGAGACCCTAATGTATCAGTAATACCAAAATCGGGAACAAGAAGCCTCCCAGCAAGGCACAGAGTGCAAAAATCTGTGACCTGCGCTCTTTTTTTTGTGGGGGGGGTATGTGTTTTAGGAGGCCTCACCCGAGCCCCTCTAACCTCACGCTGTGTTCCCAGCCCCCAGCCTGCAGCTGACTGAGGACCACGCGTGAGCCAGCGAGGGGGTGGGGACACCTCAGCCGCAGCCGCCGCCCCCTCCCCCGCAGCGACTCGACCACTACTGCCTGCCCCCCACTCCCCGGGCCCGGCCCCTGCCCCGTGTGGCTCCCCTACTAACCGCCCCTTGGTCGCGTCGCCCTCGTCCCGGTCATTTGCCCCTTCCCACCCCCCCCCCCGCCCCGCTTTTATTTATTTTGGATTAGCCGGTTTTCCCCCCAACCCACCCATCCACCTGCCAACCCTCACCCCACGCCCTTCCCCCTGGGGTCTGCGTCCCTCCCTCCCGGCCGCGCCCCCCTCCCAGGACACCCCCACACCCCATCCCCGCCCAGAAAGCTTTTGTATTTGTGCATAGCTAGAGTGAGGGCGGAGGGAGCCTGCCGCAGGCCGCAGCCCAAACCCTTGATTTTTATTCTGATATTTTCCCCTCCTTTTGCTCTTTCCTTTCCTTTTTCTTCTTCTTCTTTTTTTTTTTTTCAAAGAAGCCGTTTTTAAACTATTTCTAGGTTTGTGAATGTGAAGCCCCAGGCCGCAGGGGGCAAGGGGGCCGGGTGCCCCCCCACCAGCTGAGAACAGGTGTCCTTGTAGGTGTGGGGCCGGGGCGCCTCCCTCCAGCCCCCTCCCCTAGTCCCACCCCCCGGAGGCCGAGCCCCCGGGCCAGCCTGTCCTGTATCATATGTAAATACTGTGAGGTGAAGACCCCCCTCCGCCATGAGGGGGGGTCTCTGGTTCCCCTCCTCAGACACCCGGTACTGTATGCTTGCAGGCCTCAGCTGTGGCCAGCGCAGGCCCACTCTCTCAGGCCCTCGGGGTCGGGGGTGCAGGGGTCCAGGCCTCGGACCAGCGTCCCCCCCGCCCCGAAGAAACCTCGGGTTTGGGGGCCTTGGGGGGTGCCAGGGGAGAGCGGGCCAGCGCGGAGCCACAGCGCGGCGGGGAAAGGAACGAACTCTCCAAAGCCCCCCACCCCGACCCCGGCGCGCCCCCTCCTCGGTCCGACCTCCCTGGTTTCCGCTCTGAGTCCCACCCCCGCGGGGGTGGGCGGCGAGGCGGGGCGCTTTGGCCAAGGGGCGTGCCCCAGGGGAAGCCAAGGGCTGCTCAGGGAACCCCCCCCCCAAGACCCTCTCTCTTTCTCACCGAAGTTTCCCGCCAGGACGGTCCCTCCCGCGGTCGGAGCCCCCAGGAGCATCCCCGTGCAAAGGAAAAAAAAAAAAAAAAGAGGCTCAGGGGCGCGCTGACCCTCAACTCTGAGCGGTGGACCAGGCTTGGCCGGGGCAGAGCCGAGGTCCAGCCCCGGGCGCCGCCGCCTCGCCATCCCCTCCCCACCTCTGCCGCACCCATACACGACCCCGTCCCCACCCAGCGCCCGCACCCCAACCCCCACCCGGAGCCCCTCTTTGGAGAGTTAACCGTCTGTGTGAGGTGCTTAACCTACTAGTCCTGAGAACACAAAGCAATAATCTTTGTTACTGAGATGCGCGGCTGTTTGTGTTTTGGGTTCTTTTTTTTTTTTTTAAATGTTTTCCTAATAAAAGAGAAGCTGCATTTTATTGGGTTTTTATTTTTCATTTTCTACACATTTGAGCCAAGTCCTGCGAGACTTAGCATCCCTCTTCTCTCCCACTCACTGTCACCTCCCGCCGGGCTGGGCCCTGCCACCATGGGTCTAGAGCCCTGGAATTCCATTTTCCGGTTTGTTTCCGGGAAAATTTTTTCCTTTTTTTTTTTTTTTTTTTAAGTTACATGGAGTCTCGAAGCCAGCAAGTCACCACCCACCAGTGTCCTCTCTCTACATCTGTAACTTCTTTTTCCAGGTCTTATGTTTGGTCTTGAATTCCTAATAAATTATTTGAAAACAGTGCTGTGGTTGAGAGTCTTGCATCTCTGTGTGCACACAGCCCCAGATCACCCAAGGGAGCCTCGTCTTTCCACTGTGGGCACTCCGCTTCATACTCCCAGGGGCCCAGCTGCATCCCAGAAGTGACATAAGATACATGAACAAGGGGCCCGGTGCGATAGCGTAGTGGTTCAAGTCCTTGCCTTGAACATGCTGGGATCCTATATGGGCTCCGGTTCTAATCCCGGCCCACTTTCCATCCAGCTCCCTACCTGTGGCCTGGGAAAGCAGTTGAGGACGGCCCAAAGTCTTGGGATTGTGTGGGAGACCCAGAAGAAGCTCCTGGCTCCTGGCTTTGGATTGGCTCAGATTGGCTCAGCTCCAGCCGTTAAATTGCAGCTGCTTGGGGAGTGAACCATCGGAGGGAAGATTTTCCTCTCTGTCTCTCCTCCTCTCTGTGTATCTGCCTTCCCAAAATAAATAAATCTTTAAAAAAGAGAGAGAGAGATGTATTTGAAAAAAGAAAAGAGCCTTTCTATCTGCTGTTTACTCAAATGGCTATAGCAGCCAGATTTGGGCCTGGACCCCCACCTGAGTCTCCCATATGAATGACAAGGGCCCAACCCTTGAGCTGTTATCTGCTGCCTGCCAGGAGGTAGGACTCCGGTGAGCACTTGGATACAAAACGTGGGAATCCTAAGCAGCCATTTAACCTGCTGCCCCACAATGTGCCTTCCCCACGTAGGAAATTTCTAAAAAGTTATTTATTTTAGTTATCTGAAAGGCAGAGCGAAAGAGTTCTCCCATCTGCTGGTTCACTCCCCCAAATGCCTCCAGCAGCCAGGGCTAGGGTAGGCCAAAGCCAGGAGCCCACAGCTCAGTCTGGGTCTCTTATCTGGGTAGCAGGGACCCAAGTACTTGAGCCGTCACCCTGCCTCCCAGGCTGTGCATTAGCAGCATATGAATTGGAAGTGGAGCCAGAATTCAAACCAGACACTCTGGCAGGGAATGTGGGCGTCCCAGTGATACCTTTGCACTGCACCAAACTCCCACTCACAATGTTTTAAAACTTCAAAAGCACATGGTAGATTTGAGATGCCCGCTTTCCCTGTTGGAGTGCCCATTCAGCTTCCTTTTAATGCGGCCTGGGAGGCAGCAGGTCATGGCCCAAATACTTGGGTCCCTGCCACTCAGACAAGAGATTTGGATGATTCTTTCTTCTTTTTTTTTTTTTTTTTTTAATTGGAAAAGCAGATTTACAGAAGGAAAGATCTTCCATCTGCTGGTTCATTCCCCAAGTGGCCATTACAGCCAGAGCTGAGATGATCCGAAGCCGGGAGCCTGGAACTTCTTCCTGGTCTCCCACGCGGGTGCAGGGTCCCAAGGCTTTGGGCCATCCTAGACTGCTTTCCAAGGCCACATTAGGGAGTAGTTGGGTGGGAAGCAGGGCAGCAAGGGTTAGAACTGGTGCCCATATGGGATGCTGGAAATACCAGGCAAAGATTTAGCCACTAGACAAGCTATCATTTCGAGCCCAACAATGTTCTTTTTTTTTTTTTTTTTCTTGCTTAAAGCACAGATTTCAGATCCTTATTCACAATCTGTGTCTTGTGTCGCGAGACTCTTAGCCTTTGACTCTTCCAGGAGGTTGCAGGAACTGCTGCAGTTTGCAGACCGCTGACCACATACACATCACAGCCCATCTCTGGTGAGAGCGGAAGGTAGGAAGAGGGCACTGTTTGGAGCTGGGACATTGTCACAATGATTCAGATGCTGGGAATGGTGGCTTGAAGGACAGAGAGGAATTTAAGTATTGGATGGGCTACTTCGATGTACACACCTGTGTGACTTCCTCAGTATCTTTCCTGGCACAGTTCTCCGGGCATGTTAGCTGCAATTGCTGCTATTGCTGAAGAGAGCTCCAGAGACGCTTGTCTTCACCACTTTGAGCAAATTATGTCAGTTCTCTGAACCTGTCCCATGCGCTACAGCAATGGCCACAACTCCTGCGTCAGAAGGTTGCTCCTAGACTGAACGGCAGTGACTATAAAACAGCTCTCTGTGAGCAGGGGCTTGTGGCAGCTTTTGCATGTCTCTGGAGGCAGCAGCCTTGTCCTCCGGCTGAGCTGACGGTGACCTTGCCGAAGTGTGGGTATGCCGTCACCTGAAGGAGTTTAGGAGCTATCAGGAGCTGTACTTTCCACTGGAGGGTGTGTTTTTCCCACGCTGGGACAAACTGTTTCACACACCTGTGCATGGAGCTGGAGCAGCAGAAGGTCAAGGTACAAAAAATGCAGGGGTTTGGAGGACCTACCCCACTCTTCCCCAGGTCCACCTCTGCCTGCAGCTGTCTCGGGCAGTGTCCATAGACCTGTGGACCATCACAGCTAACATGTCTCTCTCCAAGTGGGCAAGGGGGCAGTAACAGCCAGACTGACCATTCCTCACAAAATCCTCCACTCTCCAGGTGCTCTGTTGAAGCCCCAGTGCCTGAGAATTTGACCAGGATGTCCTGGGGAAGGTGTCCCAGTGGCTACGTGAGGGCCAGAGAAGAAGGGAGACGGTAGCTGGGACTAAGTTTCCTCCTGAACTAAGTGACACTGATCTCTCTTTGTCCACAGGTGGTCTTCCTCTCTCCCAACCTGCAGATCCAGCTCACAGCCTGATCCTGCGGTGTGCTGCTGGGCTAACCACTTAACTCCCCTTAGCCCTCATCATCTCCTCTGTCAAAGACTATTTAGAAGTAGGTGTGGGCCCCAATGCAGTAGCCAAATGGCTAAAGTCCTCTCCTTGCACGTGCTGGGATCCCATATGGGCACCAGTTCGTATCTCAGCTGTTCCACTTCCCATCCAGTTCTCTGCTTGTGGCCTGGGAAAGCAATACAGGATGACGGCCCAGGGCCTTGGGGCCCTACACCAATGTGGGAGACCTGGAAGAAGCTCCTGGCTCCTGGCTTTGGATCAGCTCAGTTCCAGCCATTGCAGCTACTTGGGGAGTGAACCAGCAGATGAAAGATCTTTCTGTTTGTCTCTCCCTTTCTCTGCAAAACTGACTTTCCAATAAAAAATTAATAAGTCTTTAAAAAAAAAAAAAGAAGTAAGTGGTGCCAGGTTCTGAGCATGGAAGCCAATGCAGAGTTAGCGCCCAGTCCATTGCCGGCAGCACCATCAGCTGTGCTGCAGCAGCTGCTGCTCCTCCCTTGCGCTACCCCGAGCCCCCACTCAGCAGCTGCCAGGAGCAGCACCCGTTCTTCTGTCTTGTTTTCACTTGGAGGAAACCTATAGAAAAGGAGCTTGGCATTTTGTGAGCCAAATCTTCCTTTCGTTTGCCAGATTTATGCATTTTGAGGGGACTATGCATGAATCACGCATGGTTCTTGCATTAAAATAAACTTTTCAAGATTTGCCCACCCATTTTCATTGGAAAGGCAGATTTACACAGAGAAGAAGAGAAAGATCTTCTATCCTCTGGTTCACTCCCCACATGGCTACAATGATCAAAGCTGAGCCGATCCAAAGCCAGGAGCTTCTTCCGGGTCTCCCACGCAAGGTGCAGAGTCCCAAGGCCTTTGGCAATCCTCTACTGCTTTCCCAGCTTAATGGGAGGTGGAGCAGCTGGGACATGAACCGGTGTACATATGGGATCTTGGGAGTGCAAGGCAAGGAGTTACTCCTTGAGCCATCATGCCAAGCCCTAAAATAAACATGTTTAAACTCATTTTCCTGTGGACCTTGGGAACTGCCCGCATAGAGCCCTCTGCATGATGGAAATATTCTAAACTTACACAGTCCTTGGCCACATGTGCCTACAGAGCATTTGAAACATGGCTAGGCTGACTGAAAAACTCCATGTTTGATGTTATCAACTTCCTTTAATTTCTACTGATTCACCTGAAAATTCCTGGAAACATTCCTGGAAAATTCCATCCAGGGCTCCTCTGTGGGTGGCAGGGACCCACGTTCTTGAGCCATCACCTGCTACTTCCCAGGATGCTCACATAGCAGCGAGCTGGAACTGGAAGCAGACCCAAGACTCAGACCAGGCTGTCTGGTATGGGGTGCAGGGGTCCCCAGCAGTGGCTTACCCCTTGCAGCAAAGTCCACCCCCGTGTCCCTTAATTTTAATGAATTTAAGTAGTTGCATGTGTGTCTTGGTGGCCATCAGACAGCACAGATCTGAAAACCTCAGACCTTACAGAGAGAGGATTAGTGTGAAGCAAGCCCCGGACAAAGCAAGGACAGATTCAGGCGAACATGTCCCTTCCCTTCTCTGGGCCTCAGTTTCCCCACCTCAGGGTTGTTTTGACCTTCTCATTAGCTACAGGGCCTTGCCTGAGGCACCCCCTGGACTTGGAATGACACAGAGAAGCCCTTCCTAATGGATTGCTTCTTCCATGGCCCTGATTGCACCCTCCAAGGACAGGTAGGGAGTGCTGGGGTGCTGGGGTGCTGGGGTGCCAGGGTGCTGGGATGCTGAAACAGAGGTCACAGCCAGGAGATTTCTCTCTGCTTGCCTCTCTTTTTCTGCCTTGCAAATAAGTAATATTGATCTGTTAATTTCGAAAAGCTTCAAGTTAAATATAATCCAGTATTTTGAGAAAGAAGATGATGAGAACTAAGGAAACTCAAATGAACCATGGGCCTGAGTTAATAATCCTAGTATTGGTAATAATAATAATATATTAATATTGGTTCATTAATTACGAACGATGCTTCCTACCAATGTAAGATGTTAATAATACAAGAAACTGAATGGGGGAGAGGATGGAACTCTGAGCTCAGTAAAAACAAGTACACGAAGAGATAATTAAAACAAAAATGACAAACGTGGCCGTCCCCAGATCAGGATTGTTGGAGAGATCACCCTAGCACCCAACAAAAAAGGAGCAATTGCGGAGAGGTGATTCAGCTCTAAATGCTACACGGTGCAAGTGGGGGAGCCCCAACTTGAAGCGCCGGGGACCAGAAGAACTTCCGGTTTAGGAAGCTTTCAGATTTATGAATATTTGCCTACATAGAATGAGATGTCTTGGAGACAGGATCCAAGTCGAAACACGAAATTCATCGATGTTCCGCATACATCTTGTGTATACAACACGAAGGTGATTGTGCACAGTATTTTTAGCACCCTCGTGCTTTTTCTGTGACGAGTCACACAAGGTCAAGTGTGGAATTTTCCACTTGTAGTCCCACGTCAGTGCTCAAACAAAGCCTGATTTTGGAACATTTCAGATTTTCAGGTGAGGGTCACTTGGTCTGTGCAGGAAGTATCCAGAACTGATAACAGGTCAGTAGCGGCCAGGGTGCGAGAGAGAGGGACTGCTGGTGGGTTTAAGGAAACTTCTGGAACTAATGGAAATGTTCTGGAACTGAAGGAAGTACTCATTGCACAAGACTGGGCAAGGACTAAGAGCCACTGAATCATTGACTTCAAAGTGATTAATGTCATGTTACCTGAAGTTCACCCAGGAAAATACTATATGGTCGTTCAGTATGACAGTTCTAAAAATCCTTTATTGTCCTTCAAGTCGGATCCAGGCCTCTGGAGTTCCAAAGTCCACGGTTTTTTTCATAATTCCACACCAGGAAACAAGGAAGGGAGTGATCCTGGTCTAGTAGGGAAGAATAAGCCATGTGCTTGGGAATCAGACTCAAACTTGAACCACCCTGGCTCTGCCAGTGGCTAGCTGTGTGACCTCAGACAAGATCCCTCGCTTCTCCAAACCCGCTTCCTCATCGGCAAGGTGTGTGATGGATGGGACTGTGCCCAGCGTAGACATGGCGGCCGTAGCGGTGGTCATTCCTAGACCCCATGTCCCGCTTGCCCAACAGGGCTGGCAGCTCTGCCCCTCCACACCGGAGTTGAGTCTCAAGTCGAGATTCTGGAATCTGGATGCTGGACTTTCTCCAACTGTCTGTACCACAATGTCAGGATACACTTAAATAGCAGAATGATGGAGAATGATGGACTTAGGACTGTCTATGAAGGACTATACTACCATAATAATACAGGGGAAATCAGAGCAGGTGGGGAGGGGAGAAAGAAAAATCCCAGAGCCTATGGAATTGTATCATCAAATAATAAATTAATTATGTATTTAAAAAAAAGATTATGGGATCTGCCAAGTGTAAAAATCTCCTTGAGCTCAAAGGGGCTGCACACATCCATGTCATTGTTTCCAGCCATCCGTCAAGGGTTATTCCTTCACAAACTCAAGGCCAACTCAGAGTGGGCTGAGGGCAATACAAACAGTCTTATCTCAGAGGCGCAGGCCACCGACTATAAGAAACGCAGTCACTGGTCTCTTCAGCTTTGACTTCAAGATGAAATTCCTTGTCCTGGCTGCTCTGCTCACAGGTAAGCACCCTGCCCCACCCCCAAACCCCGCGCCCCTGAGTGTGTGCTGGGGTCTTCTTCTCCTAGGATAGCACCCCCATAGCCCTGGCCCATAGGCGGGCTGCACCTGAAGTCTCAATTCCAGGTCCCCTCTAGGGAACTCTTGTGTTGGGGTTCTCTTCCCTTAGATGCCCACACATTCTGAATTCTGATAACCCCACACAGAAAGGTCTGCCCATCTTAAGCAGGTGCCACTGCTCTACCTCCCCACCATACCTCCCCGGTGCCATGCTTGACCTTCCGGCATGCACCTTGCCTGGAATTCTTACCTTGCTGCGTCCTTTATTCTTTCCTTTTTCACTTGCCGCAAAACCCAAAGCCCCATACACAGGAACAGTGCTTCTGGTACCGCCTGTTGGATGGATTCATGGGGAATTAGACACCCTGGGATTCTAACCCACCTCTTTCAGCACCCATCCTTCAACTATGCATGCAACATCTGTGGAGAGCTCTGGAGTACCAAGCTCTGGCTTTGAGGCTCAGGTCTCTGAGAGGAACAAGGCATTCTCAGTTTCTTTCTCTATTTCTCGCCATATACACCAGGTCTAGCCTCTGTAGACCTGGCCGGATGAGAGAGAGAGGAGGGCAGAAGCGTCCAGAGAGCAGCCAGGGCAGGTTGGCCACTCCTCTCCGAGTAGTCTTGAGGCCCCTGCTACATGCAGCTGCTGTCGGCTGCCCTGGTGGAGGCCTCTCATGGGCAAGAGGGACCAAAGGCAGCTCTGCCCCTAGTCCAGCCAGGGATGCAGGCACAAGAACTGGGCACAGTGTGTCCAGTGGATGGAAGAAAAGACAAGGGGCTGTGTCAGTCCCAGAGGCTGCTGAGCCACGACCCTGAAAGCCATTGGGTTCCCTCTTGTCTTGGGGCACCGGACCTCACGAGGGATGGCTCCATGCCACCGGCGGAAGGAATTCTGCTCCCCGGGCCTGCTGAACTCAACCTTGGGTAAACACTTAGCCAGCAGCAGGACTGGCCTGCTCAGTCAACAGGCATGTGTTGATCACCGACTGTGTGTCAGGCCCTTTCTTTACTTCATTGATGATTTCATTCATTCAACTTGCCAGGTGTTTATCAAGCACCTACTCTGGTCTAGGAACTTTCTTTTCTTTTTGAAGATTTACTTTTAGTTGAAAGTCATAACAGAGAGAGAGAGAGAGAGAGAGATCTTCCATCTACTGGTTCACTTCCCAAATAGCCACAATAGCCAGAGTTAGGCAGGTCTGAAGCCAGGAGCCAGGAGCTTCCTCCAGGTCTCCCACATGGATGCAGGGTCCTAAGGATTTGAGCTATCCTCTGCTGCTTTCCCAGGCTATAAGCAAGGAAGCCCATTGGAAGTAGAGCAGCTGGGACTAGAATGGCCTCCATCTATTTGGAATGACAGTGATGCAAGACATAGGGTTAGCCTGTTGAGCCACCAGAAAGTTTTCTTTTTCTTTTTTTTTTTAATTTAAAGATTTTATTATTATTTTTTTCATTGGAAAGGCGGATATACAGAGAGGAGAGACAGAGAGGAAGATGATTCACTCCCCAAGTGAGCGCAACGGCCGATGCTATGCCGATCCGAAGCCAGGAGCCTCTTCCGGGTCTCCCACGCGGGTGCAGGGTCCCAAAGCTTTGGGCTGTCCTCGACTGCTTTCCCGGGCCACAGGCAGGGAGCTGGAAGGGAAGCGGGGCTGCCGGGATTAGAACCGGCGCCCATATGGGATCCCGGGTGTGCAAGGCGAGGACTTTAACCACTTGCGCCACCGCGCCGGGCCCAGAAAGTTTTCTTAAAAACAACAACAAAAACAAAAAATACATACTCAGATATATTCTGAGACCTAGGCCTGCTTCAAGGAGGCAACCGGTCTGGTCAAGGCAAGCAGAGGGGGCAGGCGAGGGGAGCTCCAGGGCGCAGGGCAGAGGACCAGCCAGGGTTCAAGTGACTCAACCGTATCCTCCCACAGTCGGTGCCGCCGACAGCGGCGTGGCGCCTCGAAACCTGTTGCAGTTTCGTGGCATGATCCAGTGCACGATCCCTGGGAGCTCCCCCTACTTGGAGTTCAACGGCTACGGCTGCTACTGCGGTCTGGGCGGCTCAGGCACTCCTGTGGATCAACTGGACAGGTGAGTTGACACACCTGCCGGGAAAACGCGGGTGTTGGGCGGGATGGAGTGGGGAACGGACGCCAGCCCGGGAGCTCTTGAAGCAGAGAGAGGGGACTTGCATTTTTGCTAAGGGTGACGGGTTTTCATCCCGCTGGAGAGTTCTAAGGCAATCCTTAGAACGCGAAGGTTGTCAACTAGCTAGTGGAACGATGCTGCCCTCTAGCGTCGGATCGACCAAACTACAAGTCGAAAATATTCAGGAAGAAAAAATGTCCGGAACTTTTTCCCCGTGTGTTTTCCTCCTCAACAAAACAGTATAGCGATCATCAACGTAGTATTTGGATTATATAAGGACTTATAAGTCATCTGGACATGACTTGAGGTATATAACAGAAGGATCTGCCTAGTTCATATGCAGGTGCCCCACAACTTAGGAACTAGAAGGTTTTGGTCTTCCTGAGAAGTCTTGGAACCATCTCCCAGGTGACAGCTATACATGGGCTGTCTGCATTCCTGCGACCACGTTAAGATTCCTTTCAATACGCCTGGGATAAAAAGGCTGGCATCTTTTTCCATTGGGATGACTGTTTTTTCCTGGTACATCTGGCCTGGGTTCCTGTCCAACTGCTCATCAGAAGGCCAAAGTAAACAGGGGCTGCCCAGCTGCCCTGTGCGTGCCCTCTGCCTCAGTTCTCTCTTCTCTGCAGGTGCTGCCAGACGCATGATAACTGCTACTCCGAAGCCCTGAAGCTGAGCAACTGCAAACCCATTTTGGACAACCCCTACACCAATTCTTACTCCTACACGTGTTCCGGCACCACGGTCACATGCAGCAGTAGGTTTTCCAGCTCCCCGCCCAGCAGACGGTCCAGCAGGTCCCCGCAGGCCACCTCCTGATGTCAGCTCTTATAACAACCTCTGGGATAGGTGCTATCATTATCCTCAAGCCAGAGAGGAGGAAACAGACTTGGGACACTAAGCTATTGGCCCCAAGTTCTGCAGCTCCTAAGCAGTGACGTCTGCCTTTTGAACACAGGTCCATAGGGTTGAAAGGTTATTGCTCTTAACTTCCATGGCATGCTACTTAAAACAAAAACAAACAAACAAAACAGAGCTACCATTTATTAGACTCTGATTACAAGCTAGGAGTCCGGAGTAGGTTTTTAGCTTTTGTTTTGTTTTTGCATTGTTTACTTGAAAAACAAGGTGACACGGAGACAGTGATCTTCCACCCATTGGTTCACTCCTCAAACAGCTGCAACAGCTGCAGCTGGGCCAGGCCGAAGCCAAGAGCCTGAAATGCTACTTCTGGTTTTCCAGAGTGGGTGGCAGGGACACAAGCCCTTGGGCCATCTTCCACGGCTTTCCTAGGCCCATCAGCAGGGAGTTGGATCAGAAGCAGAGCAGCCAGGACTCGAACTAGCTGCCCTGACAGGGAATACAGGCATCAGACAGCAGCTTCAGCAGCTGCATCACCATACCGGCCCCTGCTGTATTTTCATTTGCTTTAACTTACCGGTCCTGAATTTGCATTGAGGGAGTGGCCCCCAGCTTATTCCAACACATTCTCCCTGTCCCTGGATTGCAGAAAGCAGGGCCCATATGGCTCAGCCACATCTTCTTCTTCTCCTCCAGGCTCAAACAATGCATGTGAGGCCTTCATCTGTAACTGCGACCGCAATGCTGCCATCTGCTTTTCCAAGGCGCCATACAACGATAAATACAAGAACTGGAGTAACAAAAACTGCTAGGAGTGCCTGCCTCGCCAACACCTTCACCTTACATTGTGCCTTCTAATAAACCAGCTCATTGCAAGACCTCGTGCCGGGAGATGGCTTTCTTCTCTGTTAAAGCTGACTAGGTCTCTGTCCCACCTTTAGGGAACAGCATTCCTCCCGGCCTTGGAAGTGGAACCACCAGGATTCAAGCACTCCAAACCTGGATAATGGCTCACCATAACAACTTAGTGATGGTCTCCACTCTGTCAGGACTGTGTGTCTGTGAATCCTACGTGCACGACCCTTTGAGGGATCGGTCATAGTAGAAAACCTTACTGTTCTAATCTCAAGTCCCTGGCCCAATGATACCATCTCCTGAGCAGAAGAGGAAGGAGTTGAACATACAGTCTTATTTATAACGAATGACTCAGACAGATCTGCCACCTGCTAATTCACTTCTCAAATGCCTGTCGCAGTTGGAACTAAGCCAGGCTCAAGACAGGAGATGGGAATTCCAACCAGTGCTACCAGTGGGTGGCCCAAGCACTCAAATCATGTCTGCCAGATCAGAAGCAGAGTAGCTGGGATCTGAAACAGCAAGGCAGGCACTTGAAGTAGCAGCTTAATCCATTGTTCCCTAGCAGTCACCCTGGGACACACACTCTTAACCGCCTGAAAGAGTGAAGGGAAAGACAAATCTCCCATATGCCTCAAAAGCTGCAACTGGGACCACATGGGATGCCCGCTTCCCAGATAGTGGCTTAACTGGCTATGCCACAATGCCAGCCAGGACTATATACCCTCCCTGTTTGAATGAAAGAAAAGTAGTCTTTTAGGAAATCAGTGCTTCTACTCACAACCCACTTATCTTTATAGATGAAAAAAAAAATGAGAGAAAATAAGAATCAGGTTCGAAAGGCTATAGCTGGGACCTACAGATATTCCCATTATCCCAAGGGTTTGGCAAAGAACAAATCGCTTTAGCAATACTTTAGTTTGCAAGGGCTGGCACTCCTCAGGGGAAGTGGGTTAGGGAAAGTGCAAAGCAAAGGCTCAAGTTTTTTATGTAAGACTTCTTATTGGAAAAGCGGATATACACAGGAGATATACAGAGAAAGATCTTCCATCCGATGGTTCACTCCCTAAGTGGCTGCAACAGCCAGATCCAAAGCCAGCAGCGAGGAGCTTCTTCAGACGCTCCGATGTGGGTGCAGGGTCCCTAGGCTTTGGGCTGTCCTTTACTGCTTTCCCAGGCCACAAGCAGGGAGCTGGACACGAATGAGCGCCCATATGTGATCCCAGCAGGTGCAAGACGAGGATTTAGCTACTCGGCTATCTCGTCGGGCCCAGGTTAAGGTGATTTAAGCGAATAAAAAAACCTAACCCGGCTGAGGGCCTTGTGAACACGGATCACATCCTATCAGCTTCAGTATTTTCATCGCGCCTTAACACACGACTCACGCTCCTTAAAAAAATGTCTAAAGTGCGGGTTGACGTAGCAAAAAAGGAAAAAAAAAAACAAACACGTGGCTGTATTTACATTCCCTGTCACGTGACTCTGGGAGCCCAATTCCGTTCCTCAATGCAACCCACGGCGGGAGGGGTTTCAAGGTAGGCTATGTGATTGGGTAGTATACGAGCACGTGACACCCAAGCGCTCTTTTCTATTGGTGAGTAGCAGCCCAGCCTGGAGGCCTAACCCCACCCACCTCCGCGACCAGCCGGCAGACCCCGCCCCTCTGGCGCCCGCTGGCTTCCGAGTCTGCGCAGGCGCAGCGGCTGCTCCCGGTGGCTCCCGCTTGGCGTCTTCCTCAGGTGTCCGCGGCTGCGAGCGCGGGTGCCAGGCTCCCGGGGCGTTGTTCTTCCCTGAGCGGGAATCCGGCAGGACGGGGTATGAAAAAAGAATGAGAAAAGAGAACCTGCGTAGATGTTTGAGGTGTTCGCCTCTCAGGGCCACCGACCCACCGGCCATTTCCGGTTGTGAGGCAACCGGGTGGATGGTTCTGGAAAGCCCAGGGACAGCCGAGATTGGGTTCCACAAGTTAAAACTTAAGTGTCCACTCCCTCCTTGAGGAAGGATAAGAAAAGGGGGTGTAGTGTCCTTTGGGGGCGCTCTTTTTATCCCCGCCTGGTGAGCTTCGTTTCATCTCAGCCTGGGTCATTTCTGGAAGCTTCAGGAACTTAACGTTTCTTCCTCAACTAGGACAGCTCATTTGCCGCACAGGGTGTCCACAGCATCAGAGCTGGCGGACTCCTGGCCTGGTCACCCCTGGTAGGGTGGGACAAGAGACCTGAGGTCTCCAAGCTTCAGGAACCTCATCTTTCAAAGGAAATGATGGGGCTGTGGGACTTGAGAGCCAGTCTTGTAAAATGCTGCCTGCAGAACAGTTACTGAATATGCGTTCGGGAATATTTGCCTAAGGGGTAAAAGATGCTTTTTTTTTTTAATTGCTTTTTTTAAAAAAAGACATATATTTTTATTGGAAAGTCAGATTACAGAGAGACAGAAAGATCTTCCGTCTGTTGGTTCAGTCCCCAAGTAGCCACAACGGGTCGGTGCTAAGCCAATCTGAAACCAGGAGTTTATTCCAGGTCTCCCACGCGGGTGCAGGGTCCCAAAGCTTTGGGCCATCCTCCGCTGCTTTCCTAGGTCACAAAGCAGGGAGCTGGATGGGAAGTGGACCAGCTGGGATATGGACTGGCGTCTATATGGGATCCCAGCAGGTACAAGGCAGGGACTTTAACCACTAGGCTACCACGCCAGGCCCTTAATTCACTTTTTAACACTGTATCATACTAAGACTTGTTCTAGCAGTTTTTCATAATTGAAACAACAGATTTTTAAAATAAGATTTATTTGGGGTCCTGTGAGATAGCTCAGTTGGCTAACTGACCTCCAAGCGTGAGCTGTGTTCCCCCACATGGGCGACAGGGACTCAAGTATTTGGGCCATCATTAATTGCTTTCCCAGGTGGATTAGCAGAGAGCTGGATCTGAGGCAGAGAGGTTGGGCTGCCAGTATCACAAGTGACAACTCACGGAGCTACAACATTAGCCCTTGTGATTTTTTTCTGTGTTGTGTGTGTGTGTTTTAAACAGATGCAGGAAGTGGAAATGATAACTCTGAGGAAAATCATGGTGAAGTCTAGATTAAGGAGTTTTCATCCAGGGATAAAAGGCTTCCTGTCCCTCTTACCGCAGTGTGTAAGTATGTGGCTGGAACCAGCTTAGTATGTGCCAAGCATTGTTGCCATGAACTTTACCTATGTTATCGTGTAATCTCAAAACAGCCGAGGTGGTAGTATCCTCATTTATAGAGAAAGAGTTTGAAGATTAAATGACTCACCCAAATCGTCCTAACTGGAACTGAAATGCAAGTCACACTACCCTAAGTTTTAATTTTATGTTACCTTTCTTTTCTGAGAAATTGAGGGGAAAAGGTACTCTGCCTTAAATTTTTTTTTCCTTTATAAAATTTTGCTTTGTAGCATTAAGGAAGAAATCTGGCTTCTACAGCTTTGAGTTTCTGCAAGGATAACATAGCTGAAGTGAATTTTTCCATCTGACTAGCCCCTGGGAGAGTTAGACAGTAAGGTGACCCAACTCATCCTAGTTTATGTTTTTTAGAAATTTATTTATTTTTATTGCAAAGTCAGATATATATCGAGAGAGGAGGAAAGACCGAGAGAAATATCTTCCATCCAATGATTCACTCCCCACTCCCCCAGTGGCCACAATAGCTGGAGCTGAGCCGATCTGAAGCTAGGAGCCAGTAGCTTCTTCGCAGTCTCCCAAGCAAGTGCAGGGTTCCAAGGTTTTGCGGCCATCCTCAGCTGCTCTTCCAGGCCACAAGCAGGGAGCTGAAAGGGAAGTGGAGCATCCGGGATAGGAGCCAGTACCCATATGCTGTCCCAGCACAGCAAGGTGAGAACTTTAGACACCAGCTGTTGTGCCAGGCAACATTTGGAATTTTATAAAATGTTAATTAGGGTGATAAAGAATTCATATTTGTTAGTTCTGCTCAAATGCCCAAAGTAGCCAGGGCCATACTGAAGCTGGAAACCATAAATTCAGTCCAGATCTCCCATGGGGTTGGCAGGAACCCCAAAACTCCCAGGCCAGGCATGAGCAGGAAATAAATTCAGGAGCTGGGACTGACTGCGACCCAGGCATTCTCCCATATGAAACATGGATGCTTTAACCACTAGCCCAAACACCTGCCCAAATGACCCAGGTTTTTTTTTTTTTAAGATATATATATATTTTTTTTATCATAAAATCAGATATACAGAGACAGAGAGGAAGATCCTCCATCTGATGTTCATTCCCCAAGTGACCACAACGGCCAGTGCCGCACCGATCTGAAGCCAGGAGCCAGGAACCTTCTCCAGATCTCCCATTTGGGTGCAGGGTCCCAAGGCTTTGGCCCATCCTCGACTGCTTTCCCAGGCAACAAGCAGGGAGCAGGATGGGAAGTGGAGCTGCCGGGATTAGAACTGGCACCCAAATGGGATCCCGGTGTGTTCAAGGTGAGGGCTTTAGCCACTAGGCCACGGCGCCAGGCCCTGACCCAGTTTTTGTTGTTGTTTTTAAATGAAGAGACTTGTTTGAAAGGTATCATGAGAGAGCTCTCCATTTGCTGGCTTATTCCCTAAATGGCTGCAACTTCCCAGGGATTGGCCCATGTTAAACTCAGGGACTCTGAGTCTCAGGGATTCTGGGCGACAGCTTCCCAAGTACTTGAACCATTGTGTATTGCTTTCCCAGGAGCATTAGCAAAGAGCTAAAATGGAACTGGAGCAGCCAGGACTCCCAACAGGATGCCTGTGTTGCGGGTGGCAGTTCACCTGCAGTGCCATGACACAAGCCCCAGACCCAGATTGTAACAGTTACTGGTGCTGACTAGGGATAATTGGGAAATCTAATTTAAAGCACCCTAGGATCCCCGTCTGCCAAAATTGCTGGAGTAAAATTTACAGCCTTGCTCCTCTATGTGATTACTGTTGCACCTGTAGTTGCACAAAGAAAGAAATCTGATTTAAAGATTGTGGGTAATGGGTCTGGTGCAGTAGCCTAGTGTCTAAATAACTTACTTTGCACATGCCAGGATCCCATATGGATGCCAGTTCATGTCCCAGTGGCACACTTCCTATCCAGCTCCCTGCTTGTGGCCTGGGAAGGCAGCCAAGGACGGCCCAAGGCTTTGAGACCCAGAGGAAGCTCCTGGCTCATGGCTTCGAATTGGCTCAGCTCCAACCATTGCAGCCACTTGGGGAATGAATCAGTAGACGATCTTCCTCTGTGTCTCCTCTGTACTCTGTGTATCTGACTTTCTAATAAAAAATAAATTTAAAAAAGATCATGGGTTATCCCAGTTAACTGAAATTTGCTCCCAGGGGAGGTTCAGGGGGAGCTTCTGTTGCCTGCCCCGATTTAGAACAACAGGCTGTGACTCGTGTGCTGCACTCTGCAGTGTGCGCTGACTCTCTGGCTAAAGCAGTGAGCCAACAAGTCTAGCTCCTCTGCTCAGCAAAAACAAATCAATGAAAGGAACTGAGGAGTTAGCCGTTTCCTCTCTAGAAACCACATTCAAAAAGCAAGTGTCTCATTTTGACAACTGAAATCAAATAAAAATTCTTAGAGTGTAATCATGAAGACCGTTGTCTTTTAGCTGGTTAAAATACACAGCCATTGGTGTGTCCTTTTCAAATGATTCCTTTATTCCTTGGTTAATAAAGCACTGTTTCATACCACTGCTCATCTTTTCAAAGAAAATCAAAGTGGTTCAGTTAAACCCACTTAGCCATTTGGAATTATAAATTAAGTCAACTCCCCTGGGTTAGCACTCCAGAGACCAGCGTGGCCTGCTCATTTCCCAGTCCGTGTCTTCTGCCAGGCGACGTAACAAGGACATTTCTGCATTTTCCCCACGAGGAGCAGCTGCTCCTCTGAAGTGGTCTCGGGAGGCGGGTCTCAGCCTGCAGATGACCTCTTGGCTTGAAACCTGCCTGGCAGGGAGGCGTTGGTGTGCTGCCCTCCCGGCCTCAGGGAGCTTCATTCCTAAACGGGAGGAGTTTGTAGGGATCTGAACAGAAACGAAAGGAGTTAATGCCGTGACGGGCTGGAAGCAAGGTAAAGGGAATGAATGTTGGTGCACAGTGGGCCAAGCCACTGCTGGGGACACGGACATCCCAGAATGAAGTGCATGGGTGTTGAGTTCTACCTCTGCTTCCCTTTTGGCTTCCTGCTAATGCCCTTGGGTGGCAGCAGATGAGGACCCGTCTAGGTACCCACCACCCACGTGGAGACCCAGACGACAGGACTTCTGGCTCCTGGCTTCAGCTTGCTCCAGTCCCAGCTGATATGGGCATTTAAAGAGTGAATTCAGCAGATGGAAGACCTCTCCTTATTGCTCTGCCTTTCAAATAAACACATACATCTATATGAGGAAGGAAATGTGAACAGCTGCCTTCCACGCAGAAATCCGTAGCACTTAGGACATGGAAGGATGCCCACTACTACTCAGTGCCTGAACACAGAATGTAATAAAACACCAAGTACACCTCAACTCTACTTCTGCTATTAGACCAGAATGTTACATTTTGGGTATCTCAGTGGTGAGGTTATATATATATATTTTCTGTGTCATCTCACCTTTCTGTGATAATTTGTATTATTCTAGGGATATGAGACTTAGAAGTGCATCATTAAGTGGTTGTGCAACCAGGACTTCTTGGGTGCTGGCAGTGTCTGTTTCATCTGGAAAAAGCTTAGTCTTTGTAAAGTCCACTTGTGACACGTGCACTTCTCTGTACTGTATGGTCTGTGTACCTAAAGCAGTTTTTAAAAGTGAATGTGCAAGAACTCTTATTGCTGGAGAAGACTGCAGAATGTTCCGCCACACTGGAAGACAGTTTGACGGAATGATCATCAATCTGCTAGTTCACTCCCCAGATGACCACGATGGCCTGGGCTAGGCCAGGTCAAAGCCAGGAGCCAGGAATTCCATCCAGGTCTCCCACGTCGAGTGGCAGGTGCCCAAAAATTTATACCATCTTCTGCAGCTTCCCAAACAAATTAACAGGAGGCTGGACCAAAAGTGAAACAGCCAGGACTTAAACCAGAGCGCATATGAAATGCCAGCATTGTAAGTGGTGACATAACTTATGGTGCCACAATGCCAGACCCTTTAAATCTACTCTATAATAACATTAAAATATCAGGACAAAGTGTCTGAAAAAGCAGTGATGACAGGGAGATAATTTTTTTTCAACTCAGAAACAACCTTGTGACCAGTTATGTGCCAGTGTTGGCTTTAAACATTTAAAACATTTTTATTTTTATTTTATTTTTATTGCAAAGTCAGATATACAGAGAGGAGGAGAGACAGGAAGATCTTCCGTCCGGTGATTCACTCCCCAAGTGACCACAACAGCCGGTGCTGTGTCGATCCGAAGCCAGGATCCAGGAACTTCTTCCAGGTCTCCCACATGGATGCAGGGTCCCAAGGCTTTGGGCCATCCTAGACTGCTTTTCCAGGCCACAATCAGGGAGCTGGATGGGAATTGGGACTGCCAGGATTAGAACTGGGACCCAAATGGGATCCCAGTGCGTTCAAGGCGAGGACTTCAGCTGCTAGGCCACCACGCCAGGCCCAAAATATTTTTATTTTTATTTGAAAAGCAGTGACAAAGGGAGAGAGAGATCTTCCATCCACTGATTTGACTTCTCAAATGACTGCAGTAGCTAAACCCGGGCAGGCTGAAGCCAGGAGCCAGGACGCTCCTTCCAGGTCTCCCAGGAGGGAGGCAGGGAGCCAGGGTCTGTTGTTTGCTCTCCCAGCATGTGCAGGAGCAGGAGGCTGGAGCAGAAGTGGAGCTGGGACGTGCTTCCAGGTACTCTTTCACAGACATGAGTGTCCCAAGCAGCAGGTAAAGCCATTGCGTCACAATGCCTGTCCTGGTACAGATACTTGGGAAAATAGCTGGTCGCTCCTCAAAAGTTAAACACAGAGTTATCATGTGACCCCACAATTCTGCAACTAGGTATATATTCAACAACTAAAAACATACTTCTGCATAAAAACTTGTACTGTTGATTACTTCCCAATTCAAGGTTGTGTTGGGTAGCTTCTCCGAGGCTCTGAGGTTAAACCTGTAACCAGAGAGAATACACGTGAGAGCTCTCTAGATCTAGAAAAGATAAGCCAAATGGGGAACCTCTGGAACTCCCCATCCTGCGAAAGTGGCAGTTACTCCTCTGCCCACGTCACTTCCTGCAAAGATATGTATAGTAGCATTATTCTAATATCCAAAAACTGGATACAACTTAACTGATTGTTAACTGATGGGTGTATAATATATTGTGTCATCTAGTGGATTATGGAAAAATAAAAAGGAATGTAGGGTCTGGCACCGTGGCCTAGCAGCTAAAGCCCTCACCTTGAACTCAAAGGGATCCCATATGGGTGCCAGTTCTAATCCCGGCAGCCCCACTTCCCATCCAGCTCCCTGCTTGTGGCCTGGGAAAGCAGTCAAGGATGGCTCAAGCCTTGGAACCCTGCACCCATGTGCGAGAGCTGGAGGAGGTTCCTGGCTCCTGGCTTTGGATCGGTGCAGCACTGGCCATTGTGGTCACTTGGGGAGTGAATCATCGAACAAAGATATTTCTCTGTCTTTCCTCCCCTCTCTATATATCTGACTTTGCAATAAAAATAAAGAAAATTTTAAAAAAGAAATGTAGTACTCAAATATTTTAGAGTCTGGATGAACCTGGAATATACTGTGCGAAGTGCAGACACCAGACACAGGGCTCGCGTGCTTTATGAGTCCATAAGATGAGCTGTTGCAGGGCTGGGGGTGCGGAATGCCTGCCGCTGGGCACGGGCTCTCTCCCTGGGCTGGCGAACGTGTTCGTGAGTTAGTGCTGATCACCGTATGACTTTGTGAGTGTAATAAAACCAGTCAGTTGTACCTATTTCAAGAGTAAGCCTTACGATATATGAATAACACCTCTTATGAAGCTGTTACTTTTTTAAAAACAGAAAAAAAGGGCAGATCCTAGAACACTTAATATTTTAAATATATATGTGCCGTGTCTAGAATTTGAAAACATTAGTCCTTCACACACTACAGCTTGATGTACATTAGGAAATCAGTTTGAATTCAGAGTGGCTACCCATTAAGAAGCCTAGGGCCCTCTCTGTTTTGTTAGAACACCCCACTACTCTGTCACATGGAACTGGAACCTGGGAAGGCATTTACCTTTAGCAGCAGATTTGCATTGAAAGGTCTTGTTGTGGATCAGGAACATCGGGCTGCGCTCAGTGCGGGTCTATTAAAGGCAGCAGTTGTCCACAGCGAGCATTCAGCTTTAGACATGCCAGGTCATCTGACCGTGTAGGCCCAATGTTCAGTATTGCGATTGGTAGCTTCTTGTCCTGAGCCGTGAGGATAAACCTATAACCAGAGTACACCTGTCCAGGGAGAAGACGCATGTAACAGATCTCTCTGGATCTGGCAAAGGGCAAACCAAATGGGGAATCTCTAGGGCTCCCCATTCCCACCTAAGGGGCAGTTACCCCACTGACCAGTCACCTGCAAGGATGAGCCCACCACCAAGAGGGCATCAGCTTCTTTTACACGCCTGTGCACAAAATCAACTTTGTCAGGGTTTACAGTGTCCCCAAAGAAAACAACATCTGGTTTCAGAGGACCTCCACATCGGATGCAGGTCGGCACGTGGAAGCTCTGCACCTGCTCCTCGGAGAGAAAGACGTCACCATCAGGAGCCAGGCCGTGGGCCTCAGCACTCCATTGGGGGTTCAGGGCTTGGAAGCGCTCCTGCAGCAGCCCCCGGGGAGTCTGCTCACCACACTCCAAGCACAGGACCCTGAAACCGAAAAAGAACCAGCTACATAGGTTGCCTTAAAAAGCCTGCAGCTACCAAGATGGTTCATACCCAACCACTTTTCAGCTCCTCCATCACTGTTCTCTTCTCCTCACACAATTTTTCTGTTATCGAATTTGTACTTTCTGAAAGGCAGAGAGACAAAACAGATTTCCCACTCACTGGTTCATTTGCAAAATGTCTGCAACAGTCAAGGCTAGCCAGGCTGAAGCCAGGAGCTAGGAACTCAATCCAGGCCTCCCATGTGAGTGGAGCCGGCACCTGTGGCCGCCCAGGATGCCCAGGAGCAGAAAGCTGGAAACAGAAGTGGAGCCGGGACTCAAACCCAGGCACTCTGACATGTGATACAGCCAGTCCAAGTGCCATCTTAACTACAAATGCCCACACCGTCTCATCATTTTAGACATATTCCTCCAGGATACTACCCTGTTTCTCACCTTCCTTTCAGTGCCAGCCTCGTAGAGTGAGTCCCTGGCTCTCCCCCAGCTGCTGCACTTGCCATCCAGCTCCCTGTTTGCGGCCTGGAAAAGCAGCAAAGGATGGCTCAAAACCTTGAGACCCTGCACATATGTGGGAGACTTGGAGGAAGCTTCTGACTCCTGGCTTCAAATCAGTTCAGCTCCAGCCATTGTATGGATGTGAACCAGCATGGAAGATCTCTTTGTCTTTCCTTCTCCCTATAAGTCTGATCTGCCTTCCCAATAAAAATAAATAAATCTTAAAACATAAATAACAGAAAAAGGACTGACACAGGATTACTCATGGGACAGAACTACAGTTCCCCAAAGTAGCAGCTCGCTCACAGATATGCTCTAGGGTTTTTTCCCCTTCCCCGTTCTCCACTCCCAATCCCTCACTGAGTTTACTGTAATCAACTCCAAAATAAACAACTTGCTCCCTAATCCTCTCAGAGTGAAACAAGACAACCATGACCAAGGCAGCTACTGTCCATGTTCTCATTTTTACGTTCAACCAGCACCTGTGCATGCATCCATGGAGCTCTGTCAGCCGCTGACTCCCTGCCTTGGTGTGCAAGGCATCCACATTCTGAGTCACCAACCAGTGCAGCTTGCCGAGCTTCTCCCAGTTGCTCAAAGCCCAGTGAGCAGGGTTTGGCTGGTGGGAAGAAAACTGAGGCCAGCCCACGAAGTTTCTGGCCCAGTACCGCTGGCGGACCGGAGCACTGCGTACAAAGTCGATGTGCTGGATAGGCCTCCGGTTGGTGCGTGCGTAGAGTCCCACCTTGTCGGACCGATAGTCTGGAATCCCCGACTCCGTGGAGATCCCTGCCCCGGTCATTACAAGGACTTTCTTGGAAAGGCTGACGAAGCGCTGTAACTCTCTGACCTGCTCAGGATCCACAGGAGGACTTGGAGGCACAAATAACTCGGCAGATACATGCGAACATGGCCGGCTGACATTGGTGACCCAAAGGCCTTTGCCTGAGCGGATGGTCAACCCACAGCTCACCCACATTCTAGAGAAAAAGAAACTTCAGGTCAACAACTGGTTTTATTAATTTTTTTAGGATTTATTTTTTTTTTTAATTGGAAAGTCAGATTTACTCAGAGAAGGAGACAGAGAGAAAGGTCTTCTGTCTGCCAGCTCACTCCCCAGGTGGCTGCAATGGCTGGAGCTGAGCAGATCCGAAGCCAGGAACCAGCTTTTTCTGGTCACCCACACATTAGGGACTTAACCACTAGGCTACCGTGCTGGGCCTGGTTTTATTAATTTTTTTTTTTTAAGACTTACTAATTTCAAAGGCAGATGGAGAGAATCTTCATTCTACTGGTTCATTGCTCAAAGGCTACAATAGCCAGATGTGGTCCAGCAGAAGTCAGCAGCCAGGAACTCCATGGTCTCGCACATGTGTGGTAGGGGCCCAAGCAGGTGGACTCGGACCGTTAGTCCACTGCCTTCCCAGATACATTAGCAGGGAGCTGGATCAGAAGCAGAGTAGCCAGGATTCAATCAGTATTTCACTAAGGTGTGGTGACATTGGAAGTGATAGTTTAATGCCACAGCACCAGTCCCAGGTACAGGTTTTAAACAATAAAGGTAGGGCCTGGCACAATGGCTAAGTGGCTAAATCCTTGCCTTGTGCGTGCCAGGATCCCATACGGGCACCAGTTCATGTCCCTCCACTTCCCTTTCAGCTCTCTGCTAGAGGCCTAGGAAAGCAGTAGGGAAGGTGCCAGGCCTTGAGACCCTGTACTTGCATGGGAGCCCCAGAAGCAGCTCTGGCTTCGGATTGGCTCAGCTCCACTTCGAGTGACCCAGCAGATGGAAAATGTTTCTGTTTCTCCTTCTCTCTGTAAATCTGACTTTCTGATAAAAATAATTATTTTAAAAAAAGAAAAGACAGGGCCCAGCACGATAGTGTAGTGGTTAAAGTCCTTGCCCTGCATGCATGCCCAGGATCCCATTTGGGTGTGGGTTCTAATCCTGGCAGCTCCGCTTCCCATCCAGCTCCCTCCTTGTGGCCTGGGAAAGCAGTCTAGGACGGCCCAAAGCCTTGGGACCCTGCACTTGCATGGGAGACGTGGAAGAAGTTCCTGGATCCTGGCTTCAGTTCAGCTCAGCTCCAGCCATTGTGGTCACTTGGGGAGTGAATCACCAGATGGAAGATCTTCCTCTCTGTCTCTCCTCCTCTCTGTATATCTGACTTTGCAATAAAAATAAATAAATCTTAAAAAAAAAAGACAGTAACACACAACAGCGTCTCCGGAAGCCTGATTATATCATTGAGTCATGTTTTATTCACATGACTGCACCTACCTGTCTTCAGACTTATTTAAAAAGCAGAGTGGGGGTGGGGGGAGATCGCTTCTCGACCTTTTGGCTAAGATCAAGTTACACTGACCTATGTGTTTAGCTAAACCCTTCCTTGGTGGGGTGGGGGTGGGGACGACAGTGTGTTCCATAAACCCACTTCCCTGTGTTATAAATGAGAATTGTATCTCCCTAAGTATGGCGGACCTCACGGACACCGCGGCACAGGGCTTTCAGGCTTCTGATTTCATGCGTGTAATTCAGCTCACATACACCTCATAGGTTCGCACACGCTACCTTCCTCCGTGGTGGCCGCCTGCCCCTCCGAGGCGACAACGAGGGGCACCTCAAGGCACCGTCCGGCGTCCTGGAACCCACGGCCAAGAAAACCCCGCTGAAAACACGCCGCGCAGGAACGGCGGCTCTTCCCCAAGTCGCGCCGAGAGGAAGGAGGAGAAATGGAATCGCTTACAAATTATGCACAACTTGCAGGAACCTGCCGACAACTCACCTTTCGCAGCTCAAAGGGGACACTTGACGCCGAACTGCAAGACCGCCTCCTGTACTGGCATTCTGGGAAGTGTAGTCCGCGCCGCTGGGGTGATGCAAAGAAAACTACAAGTCCCACCATCCTCAGGGTCTCACCCTGAAGGGACTCGGTTCACTCAGCAGCGACCCCTGTCGTCAACCTTTCAGAATAAGAGGTAAGTGAGCCTCTCTGTATTGGTGTCCTGAGTGCAAAATATGGCACTCAAGATGATGTTAGCAGAAGCTTTCATAATATTTAAGACAGAAGCCTTTGGGCCTGGTGCGGTAGAATAGTGGCTAAAGCCCTCGCCTTGAACAGGCCAGGATCCCATATGGGTACAGGTTCTAATCCAGGTGGCCCCACTTCCCATCCAGCTCCCTGCCTGTATCCTGGGAAGACAGTCGAGGACGGCCCAAAGCCTTGGGACCCTGCACCCGTGTGAGAGGCTCTGAAGAGGCTCCAGGCTTCTGGCTTGGCATTTGCTCAGTTTCGATTGTTGCCGCCACTTGGGGAGTGAATCAGCGGACAGAAGATCCTCCTCTCTGACTTTCCTAATGATGATAATAATACAATATTAAATAAATTATTCAATACAGTGCTTGTCTCTCCCTCCATGGAGATTCTGATGTGAAGGTGGATCCGTCGTCTGTCTACTGGTACATTCTACAAGTGGTCACTGTGACCAGGACCCAGGCCAGGCAGCCAGGAACTCCATCCAGGTCTCCTACATAGCTGACAGGGGCTCACGGCATTTTCTGCTTGTTCCCCAGGCACATAGCAGAGAGCAAGATCAGAAGTGGAACAGCTGGGACTCTAATTGACTGGTGCCACAGGAGGTAGCTTAACGTGCAGTGCTATAACCGTGCCTCCCCACCTGGATTTTATTACGAAAAATTTCAAAACTGTATTCTTTTTTTAAAATTTCCAAAGTGAATGAACATCATTAATAGCAGCTGGCTGGGAATACAGACTCAATGTCCTTTTAGACTCTGAAGGATCTGATGATAGGAGGAAGTTCACCGGCTCTCAGTTTTTCTCGGAGTGCTGGAAAGTCATCTGTGGAGCATGGAGTCAGACAAGACAGCTGGCCAAACAGTCTCGTGCAATAGTTACTGACAGCATGTAATGAACCACGCAATCAAGACATCCTCAAGGGACAGACTGTGCCTTTACAATACCCTTGTGAGATTAGGCTCTCTGTTTTTGAAGATTTATTTTTACTTATTTGAAAGAGTTACAGAAAGAGAGAAAACGAACTTGATTCAGAACTGGGTCAGAACTGGGCCAATCTGAAGCCAGGAGCCAAGAGCTTCTTCCAGGTGTCTCAATATGGGTGCAAGGCAAGCAAGGACTTGGGCCATCCTCTGCTGCTTTTCCAGGCACGTCGGCAGCGAGCTGGATAGGAAGTGGAGCTGCCAGAACTCAAACTCGTGCCAATATGGCATGCTAGCACTGCAGGTGGCAGCTTAACCCACATGCCACGGCACCAATCCCTAAGGTCAGCCTTTATGTTCGCAACTTCACGAAAATCATTAAATCCCCGATGGAATTAAAGTAAAACAATCTAAACAGGGGCCAGGGTCATGCTGTAGTAGGCTAAGAGCTCCACCTAATTCACCAGCATCTCACATAGACACCAGTTGGAATCCCAGCTGTTCCACTTCCCATTCAGCTCCCTGCTACTGTTCCGGGAAAATAAAAACTGAAACCCCCTAATGTAATAGAGGGACCCAGTCTCTTGTCTGTGTTCCTTAGCACGGGGTGCCTTCACCTGCTGTTTATTAGAAGGGACGCACTGACTTCCGGGGGTCGTGATCCAGCTAGCCCGAGACTCAAGGAGTCATTGGTTCTCCAAAGGTCAGACCCTTGATGGTCAGTGTTGTCCTGGGGGGATTTGCAGAATGTGACTTCCACCTTTGCATCACTCCTGAACCAACTAGAGCCCACCCGCTGATCATCAGTTCCCTGACCAATCACTGACCAAGCCTGGATGGACCCTGGGAGCCACTGCATTCCAGGAGCCCTTTCAGCCCTGAGTCCTCAAGGAGCGCAGGAATTAAGTGATAGCATCCAGCTCTGCACTCGGGACTGGTCCAGCTCCTGTGCTGAAAGGAAAAGGTCCACAGGAAACCGTTATTTGGATTAGACACACAATTCCCACATGATCCGACACTTCCAGTTTTTAGGCATAGCACGAAGGAATTGAAAAACAGAAATTCAAAGCGATGTCTGTATAACCAAAAGCAAGCAGTATGATGCACAACACCCAAAGGCGGAAACCTCAAGTGCGTCCACGGAAGCGTGGAATGAATGAGCAAAATCCCACTCAGAGAAAAAGGACATGCGACCCGCACCACAGGGCGGTTGGCTCAGGGAAGCCAGCCAGCCAGGCCCCAGAGGACAGCGCTGCGATGTCACTGGGTCCGACAGAGGCAGAGTGGACATCTCCACAGAGCAGGGAAGGAGCCAGCTGCCCAGGCGGCGGTGTGACACGCGGGGCGTTTTCACCGTGGAATAAACAAAGCTCTGGTGACGAACGGCGGCGCTGCTCACACGACACTGTCGCCGCATCCCTGCGCCCCTGAAGTAACACCTTGGAAACACACAAACTACACATGAATTCCACACGAGAGTAGGACATGCCAGAGACGGGAACACCCGTGGGAGGAGCCCGGCGACCCCCAACACCGCCCGGCTCAGCCACCTCCTTCATCCCCGCCGCCTCCCAATATTAGCATATTCTCCCTCCCACAGTGCTTTGCTGCATGCCCCACCAAAACGCGTTGATGAAATCACAGCCCGAATTTCCAGAAACCGCCCACATGTTCCCACAGACGTCTTTAAATACACATCTTCTTTTCAAACAGACAATAATTGTAAGTGTTTCAGGGAACCTGAGCCTCGCCTTTCCGTAACGGGAGCCGGGAGGCTTGGGGTCGCTGGCGGCTGCAGCGCTGACCCAGCTTTGCGCAGTGGCAGTATCGTAGCCAATGAGGTTTATCCGAGGCGCGATTATTGCTAATTGAAAACTTTTCCCAATACCCCGCCGTGACGACTTGAAATATAGTCGGCATTGGCAATTTTTGACAGTCTCCCCGGAGACTGAACATGCTTGTTGTGCATAAAAGAAAAGCTTATCGTAATGGATAGGGTTTTTTATGTGGCGCTTTGGAAATACATCCCGGCGTTTTATTATTTTACATTGGTATTTCGTTTTCTAGGTATTTGCAGACGATCTGAAGGGTTTTTCAGGTTTCCCCGGTTTCGCGTTTCTTGGTTTTCATTTTTCGGCAGTCGAGTGTTATTCGTGATGCGTTTTTCCTGTTTTTAAGTCGTAGTGGTTCTTGGGAATGTTTCTTGCCGGCGTTGTACTAGCACACTACGTTTCCTCCCTTTGGGTTTTCATTCTGAAGTTCCTTTGGAAGGGCCCGGCGTCTGTGTGACGTCAGGGTGGTTTGCATAGATTGCCCAGCGTCCCTAGCGCATTCTCTTAGATTTTTGCAAAATCAGGATTATTCTGCGTGGTAGTGCAAAAGCAAAGCACGTCGTGGGCGTGCGGCCGCGGGCTGCGTGCGCGTGGTTGGCGAGGAAGGCGTCCTGTGCCCACGCGCGGCACAGCGGCTCACCCTCGCTGTGAAGGGCGGCGGCGTCCGTGGGGTGCGCGGGTGCGGGGTCCTCCTTCAGCTTTGCGCAGTGGCAGTATCGTAGCCAATGAGGTTTATCCGAGGCGCGATTATTGCTAATTGAAAACTTTTCCCAATACCCCGCCGTGACGACTTGAAATATAGTCGGCATTGGCAATTTTTGACAGTCTCCCCGGAGACTGAGCTTGTCGTGTCATAAAGGTAGAGTCTTCTGGTGCCTTTACGTTTATGCGGCAAAGTCCCTGGCGTCTCATGTCTTGCTGGGTTATATTGGATACGCAGTGTGGAGTCGCACCGTATCTGACATCTTAAAACGCTTATTTTCCCCCCTCGTTTTGATGTCGCTGAAGCGGTCGCGCCTGTTAATACCTCACCCTCCATTGTTTGGTGGTAGCCAAGTTCACTTCACAACTGAAAGCTTCAGGGCACACTGTTTTTTTGTGTTTTGTTTTTCTCCTGTCTTGCTGTTATCAATCACCACACTAAGAATAATCCTGTAAAGTATTTTGTGTGAACCTAAATTCTTTCTTCTCGAGTAAATGCTGGGTCATATGACAAGAGTAGTTTTTTTTTTATTTTTTCAGATTTTATTTTTTAATTGGGAAATCAGATTTACAGAGAATAGGAGAGATAGATCTGTCCACTGGTTCACTACCCAAATGGCAGCAACAGCCAGTACTGACTGGCCTAGGCCGAAGTCAGGATCTCTGAGCGCCATGTGAGTCTCCTACCATAGGTGGCCAGGGTCCAAGAGTTGGGCCATAATCTCCTGCTCTCCCAGGCACGTCAGAATTGAAAGCAGAGCAGTCAGCTAGTGTCCTGATATGGGATTTTATAAAAGGATTTATTTATTGGGTTCAGCGCCATAGCCTAGCAGCTAAAAGTCCTTGTCTTGAACTCACCGGTGTCCCATAGGGGCGCTGGTTCTAATCTCGACAGCTCTGCTTCCCATCCAGCTCCCTGTTTGTGGCCTGGGAAAGCAGTCAGGACGGCCCAAAGCCTTGGGACCCTGCACCCACATGGAAGACCCGGAAGAGGATCTGGCTCCTGGCTTCGGATTGGCGCAGCACCAGCCGTTGCGCTCACTTGGGAAATGAATTGTTAGAAGATTTTCCTCTCTGCCTCTCCTCCTCCTGAATATATCTGACTTTGCAATAAAAATAAATCCTTTTTAAAAAGACAATTAAAAAGATTTATTTATTTCCATTGTAAAGTCAGACATACAGAGGAGGAGAGACAGAGAGGAAGATCTTGCAGCCGCAATGGCCAAAGCTGTGGGCAGCTAGGAACCTGGAGCCTCTTCCAGGTCTCCCATGTGGGTGCAGGGTCCCAAGGATTTGGGCTGTCCTTGACTGCTTTCCCACGCCACAAACAGGGAGCTGGATGGGAAGTGGGGCTGCTGAGGTTAGAACCGGATCCCATGTGGGATCCCGGTAGGTTCAAGGCAAGGACTTTAGCCACTAGGCCACCGCGCTGGGCCCCTGACCAGCATCTTCATTGGCTGTTCCAAGGGTATCCCTGAGGCTGTGCCAGTCACCTGCAAGTACTGCCACAGCTTAACCAGCTAAACAAGGCCAGGCCCTTTGCCATCAGAATTTTGAAAGCAGATGTGCTAATTTTTAGGTTTTCTGCAGTTTTCTTGTGG